TTCTTTAATTTCTTTCTGCACTGTCTTTATTTATAAGTGTAAAAGGCTTTTTTAAAATTATGTGTGACACAGACAAAATTATTTGTCAGTACATTTTTGAGGAATTTAACATGTTCTGATTCCTTCCACTGCCAGTCACCGTAGTTCCTCGTGTTTGAGTCATAATCTTCAAGATAGCCCTTTTAAAAAGAACTTTTGCTCAGTCCACAGTTGTAAATCCAGAATTCTTTGAGGTCACCTTTAATCTCCAGTGGGATATAGACACACTTCAAAAATTCCCCACCTGTAACCTTTAGGATCCAGTTTTCTCAAACAGTTTATCTTAGGCCCATGTTTAGGGTCAGAAGAGACAGATCTGATTGGTTTTTAATTTTTCACACCCTCTAAACATGAATAAAGTTGAAATCATATTCACTCCTAAGCTGTCACATCCTAGGACAGATCCCTGGGCTATGCCAGTACCTTTTGAAGTACAGACATTGTGTTCTCAAGATGAAAAATCTTAAAAAACAAGCCATCCTTGTTTCATGTAAACACTAAAATTAGAGTACTAAATCAATATAGTCATTTCCCTCATAGTTTATGCTTTTAAATTATCAATTCAATAATCCTGGAAGCAACCTTTGTGTGTATTCAGTTCAGTTCAGTCGCTCAGTCGTGTCCGACTCTTTGCGACCCCATGAATCACAGCACGCCAGGCCTCCCTGTCCATCACCAACTCCCAGAGTTTACTCAAACTCATGCCCATCAAGTCGGTGATGCCATCCAGCCATCTCATCCTCTGTCGTCCCCTTCTCCTCCTGCCCCCAATCTCTCCCAGCTTCAGGGTCTTTTCCAGTGAGTCAACTCTTCACATGAGGTGGCCCAAGGATTGGAGTTTCAGCTTCAGCATCAGTCCTTCCAATGAACACCCAGGATTGATCTCCTTTAGGATGGACTGGTTGGATCTCCTTGCAGTCCAGGGGACTCTACATTACTTGAATCTGTTTTAGGTATCATGTTCCTTCTTATCTGTATCAAAATTGATGCTGAACACTGAGTTCTGAGTTGCAAAAGAGGATTTTTGTACCTGTCTATAAGTTTTGTCCACAAATGATACAAAAGCATATACAAGTGCTATTTCTGAGCGTTTAAAATATTCAGAATACTGTGCTTGCGTGTTGTTTGTTAAACAGCCCTACATTTTTCATACATTTGATGCTATGGCAAATGTGATTTCATTTTCCAATATCACTGGTGTATAGAAATTGATTTTTAAAAATTAATCTGCAACCTTGCTAGATTTACTTATTTTAGGAGCTCTTACTGCAGACTTTCTAAGTACTTGATCATATCATTCATGATTAAAGACAGCTTTACTTTCCTATATACATGCCTTTTATTTCTTCTTAATGACTTCCTGTGTTAGCTAAGACCGCTAATGAAATGTTGAGGAGGGTTGGAGCGTGGACATCCTTGCATGGCTCCTGATCGTAGGGGGAAAAGCACCACTCTTTCAGCATTTGGGTTTTTCACTGATGCTGTTTATCTGGTTGGGAAGTTCCCTTCTCTTTGTTTTTGTGAGTTTTTTTTATCATGTTGGGTTTTGTTAAGTGCTTTTTCTACATCTATTCAGATGATCATATAGTTTTTCTCCTTTATTCTGTTAGCATGATGAATCACATCATTCTCTAGTGTTAAACCAAGATTGCATTAGCTATGATGTATTAGGTTATATTATTATTTTTGTACATTAATGAATTTAATTTCATGCATATGTTTTGTTAAGGTTTTTTGCCTCGTATTCTTGAGGGATGATGCTTTATGATTTAGTTTTCTTGAAATGTCTTTGTTTTTTGTTATAAGGGTAATTCTGGTCTTGTAAAATAAGTTGGAAGGTGCTTCTCTCTTCTGTTCTCTTTGGTATTTCTTCCTTAAATGTTCGGCAGAATTCATCTGTGCAAACATGTGAGCCTAAAATTTTCTTTGTGGGAAGGTTTTTAAGTACAAAGTCAATTTCTTTAATAGGAATTTTAAAAAATGCCTGTATATATTTATTTTTGGCTGGGTTGAGTCTTCGTCACTGCACAGGCTTTTCTCTAGTTGCAGCACACGGGGGCTCTCTCTAGCTGTGCGAGGGCTTCTCATCGCAGCCGCTTCTCTTGTTGCCACCACCAAGCTCTGGAACACGGGCTCGGGAGTTGCGGCTGAACGCACCGCTGACCGGGCTTCAGTCGCTGCAGCTCCTGTGCTCCGGAGCTTGCTGCTCGGCACGTGGGATCTTCCCAGGTCAGGGATTGAACTCGTGTCTCCTGCACTGGCAGGCGAACTCGTTACCACTGAGCCACCGGGGAAGCCCCATGAGCCCTATTTTTTTTTTTTTTAATTTTTTTTTTTTTTTTTTTTTTTTTGAGCCCTATTTTTTTAAGGGATCTTTTTGAATGAGTTTTGGTAGTTCATGTCTTTCCGGAAATTTGTCTGTTTCATCACAGTTGTCTCATTTATTGGAATAGAATTATTCTAAATAGTCCCCTATTATCTTTATAATGATTGTAGGATCTGTACTGAGGCCCTCTCTTTCCTAATTTTCCTAAGTTTTTTTCTCAGTTTGGTTGGAGGTTTATAGTTTTATTGTTTTGTTTTTCAAAGAACCAGCTTTTGACTGTTTTTACTGTTGTGTGTGTTTTAAAATGTCTGTTGTTTTCTACTCTTTATTATAGCCTTCCCTTGGTTACTTTGGGATTTACTCTTTTTTTTTTTTTTGGCCACACTGTGAACCATATGAGATCTTAGTTCCCTGACCAGGGATTGAGCCTAGACCCTCAGCAGTAAGAGTGCAGAGTCCTAATCACTGGACTCCAGGGAATTCCCTTACTTTTCTTTTTCTTAAGGTGAAAATTTGGGTCACTGAATCAAGACCTTCTTTTTCAATACAGGCAAATATAAGAATGTCAGAACAAGACAGTACAAAAACAGTTCCTAGTGGAAATTAAAACTGAATTTTGATTTTCTTGATTTTCTTATATTTGCATTGCTGCTTTTCAAAATTGTTTTGTCTACTATAGATTTATAAATTCTGATAATGTAAATACTACTTGCTATTCCCTAAGGAAATGTTAAGAGAATTACAAGGCATTTTAAGTGTCAGGGTAGGCCATAACATCTAATCATGCATCCTTCCAGCTTGATATAACAAGACTGTCTTCCTGCTTCCACTGTCCATCCATTCTGAATCCCCGGGGCTTTGCTCTGCCACACACAGTCACTCAAGGACCCAGGTTGCCAGGCCCCGCTGTGTTGAGCTATGCCGTCGACCCCCTGTGGCAGGAAGGGCGCCCTGAGGGGCTCTGCTCCGCTGCTGTGGGCACCAGTGATCTGCATAGTCACTCTTACTTGGAAAGCTCGTTCACATAAATTAGATCCCTTTCTACATTTCCAGTTGTGAGCTGAGCCATAATTGTGGCTTCCTGAAGAGTTCTGAAGTCAGACCCAAGGTTGAACTTCAAGCTTCAGCACTTAACAATCATGCATCCCAAGGAAATGTGCTGGTTAACCCCCGAGCATTTCCTCATGGGAAAAAAATGCCATGATGCTTGTAAGGGTTAGGAAAAAAGTATGTGAGGCCGCTGGACAAGGCTTAATACACTATTTCTCCCACAGGCTTTCTTCACTTGGGAGGTCAGCAAATCCAGCTACAGGCTAATCTCGTTTTCTGTGTAACAACAGACCAGAATGGTAACTGTGCTCGTCTTCCCATCCTCTTAATGCAGATGGTTTTGTTAAGTTTTCCTGTGATTGTGTAACACAGCCATTTGATTGTAATAATGCCATGAAGTTATATACCTTTTTGTTTTAGTCTCAAACTTTCATTAATGTACAGCAGACTTTACAAAAGCTACATGTGTGATATTGCAACTGATTTTTATAGATGAGAATTCAACTGCCTGCTGTTGAGCCAGATACTAATTTGTGAAATGTGAAAGAGTGCAACTGAGCTCACTCAGTTTTTTTGTTTGGGAAAAGAGAGTATTTTTTCACTTAAAAAAAATGTTATGTTAACATGGAACAAGTGTCAAAAGGTCCTGAAACAAAACAATTTGAGAACTGCTAGGTTAGACTCTGAGCCTGTGGCTGAAGACTGCCATGTGAACAGGGTTCCTGTCACCCGCACTTGTATCGCAGGGCCTTTGGTGACTTCATCCAAGTATCAGGGGCTCCCAGCAGTGATACAGAACCCGCCTGCCAGTGCAGGAGACCCAAGAGACTCAGGTTCAGTTCCTGGGCCAGGAAGGATCCCCTGGAGGAGGAAATGGTAACCCACTCCAGTATTCTTGCTTGGAGAATCCCATGGACAGAGGAGCCTGGCGGGCTACAGTCCATGGTGTCACAAAGAGTTGGACATACAGAAAGAAAAACACCAATACAGTATATTAATGCATACATATGGAATTTAGAAAGATGGAAACAATCACCCTATATGGGAGACAGCAAAAGAGACACAGATATAAAGAACAGACTTTTGGACTCTGGGAGAAGGCGAGGGTGGGATGATTTGAGAGAATAGCACTGAAACATGTATATTACCATATGTGAAATAGATGACCAGTCCAGGTTTGATGCATGAGACAGGGCGCTCAGGGCCGGTGCACTGGGACAACCCTGAGGGATGGGATGAGGAGGGGGGTGGGAAGGGGTCAGGATGGGGGACACATGTACACCCACGGCTGAGTCACGTGAATGTATGGCAAAAGCCGCCACAACACTGTAATTAGTCTCCAACTAAAATAATTTAAAAAAACATTTTAAAAAGTCAGACATGACTGAGCGCGCACACACACACACACACACAGTCTAAGTATCCCTTTTCTTCCTTTTGCTGGAAAAAAGATTATAAACAATTAGTTACTTGCTCTAATCCCACAACTAGTTTTTCTAGGCAGAGATCTGGAGGCAGTTGCGCTGAGCTGCAGTTATTTAGATGGCTGTTAATGATGGTTATTTTTGTTTTCTTTCACACACAGCTTATTTGTATGGCGTTTTGGTATGCCAGGAACCAAAAACAAAATAATTCAAGGCAGTGAAACTGAAGTAAACTAGGAAGATCATCAGCCGAGAAGGGCCTGTTGGGAGGAAGCAGAGTAAGTATAGTGTGCATTGAGAATAGGTTGGGTTGTATTAATACATGGAAAAGCAGAGACTGGGTCAGTGAAAAGAAATAATGTTTTGTTTCTCTCAGGCCTAGCCTGCTAATACTTCTAAACTGGCCAGATCACACAGCAAGCCCAAAGATGCCTTGAAAAGGACGTGCACGTTAACTTCTTAAGCTGTGTAAGAGCATGACTTGATTCATAAGTAGTCTAAAACATCATGCAGGAAAGGATCGTATCTTAATAAATCTCTGACCTAGTATTCAAGGGAAGACTGGGGACAGGTAGCCCTATCAGAGGACTTTTGTCCAACTAAATATTGCAATTTTAAATACTTTTAGTAGTTTCTAGGGGACGTGGGGTGTAACATTTTCACCTAAGAAAGTTTTGGTTTCCACGTCATTTTCCAACATCCTTCCCTTTGACTGCTTTTTATCGCCTCAGTGGCCTGTCTTCCCTGGGTCTTGTTTTTCTTGCCTCTGAAGCTTGCCCCAGCTCTGTGATCTCCTACATACGCCATTTCAGGCTTCTCTCTCTCTGCCGATCTTCTTTTGAAGAGGCTCCTGGTTCGGGACTCCTTGGCCGAGGCTGCCCCCGCCCCCTCCCTCTTCCCTGACCCCCCTTAGCCCCTGGGAGGCACTCAGGGTTACTTGCCTCCTCTTGGGACCTGTCTTTCTCAAGAGCCCCCCGCAGAGAGTCAGTGGTGAAGTGGGAACTTGGCAAGCATTCCTTGGATGTTTCCTTTAAACACGATTCCTTAGCTTTACTTTTTGAATTTTGGGTAGGAGTTATAAAGGACACAGTCATTTTATACTGATGATTCTTTCTTCCTTTTAATCCTAAACATACTTTTAAAAAGTAGGTCTTTATGAACCCATACCATTTCCCTTCCTCCCCTCCCTGCCCCCCATTCCCAACGTCTGCCGTTTAAAACTAAGCCAGTTCTTTCCTTGGCACAAGGAGGATTTCATATGCTCTTGTCATTCCACCCAGGTTTCCTTACCCAAAGCCAGTAGCATTCGTCAGGGTGGTAGCCATGATTCTGTGCCCTGGTGTATCAAACCTGAAATGGAACTTTTTTGAGAGGGTAAAGTTTACAGTGTATTTTGAATATAGTTTAAAAAAATTGAGCATATACCCAGAACTTATTTGATTTGTTCTTTTATAATGTATAGTTATGGAAATACGTATTGGATGATTTTTATAGTTATCTTTACATATATACATGTGTATGTAAATAGGTACATTATTTGTGTGCCTTAATGACAAGGTCGATTTATATCCATGAGAGTATGTTAAAGACAAAATTATTCATGATCTTTGTTAAAGAACAGTGAGTTAGACCTTAAGACCATTGCAATAGGCACGGGTACCACAATACTGGGATTTTGCAGTCGGGTGCGGAGGGTAGTGTGGAGACCGGACTCAAGCTCAAATGCAATCGAAGTGGGAATTTACAGCCGAGGAAGGTAGGGGTCTGTGAATGGACTATTACCAAGGAAAACATCAGTGGTGAGAGGGGATTCTGGTTAAACTGACTTATCAGAATTCTTGCGAAGGCAGGTCAAGGTGGTTAGACATCACCTGAAGGATGGTGAGGATGAGGAACCTGATCAGACATAGACGGGGAGAGATTCTGGCTAAACCAACTTAGCAGTATTCTTGCTAAAACTGGGTAACATAATGACAAATATAAAAGCTTAGAAGGCAGCTTAGTTGAGAAGAGTTGAATTCTATTCTCAACTAGGAGAGACTCCGTCAAATTATAGTTGATGTTGTCAACAGAACTGGTGACCAACCCTCTCCCATACCGATTTCTTTTCTTTACCCTCAGACAGGATCCTCATAGCTTTCTTGAAATTAATTGTGTTACCTGTTTCTAGGCAATTTCAGGTTTCTTTTACTTCTTAGACTTGATATTCCCTTTTTTTTTTTCCTTAAAGTTTGAGAAATTCAGAAAAATCTGTTAAGTGGAATACCATATTAGTAACTTGACGTGTACCTTTTTCTGTACATGTGTAATATCTTTAAAAAAAACACCAAGAATTGTTAGGTAAGTGCAAAGGAACAGGAATGGAGCTTGAACAGCTTTACAAGCAGGAAAAAGCAATGATGGAGGAGGAAGTTCAAAGAGGAGGAAATTCAAGAAACATCCTCAAGACAAAACACACAGTTGATCCAAAGTTGTTTCTGCAAGACTGTTCCACCACTTTGTGTAACAGCAAGGAAAAAAAAAAACCCAGCCCCAATAGTAACAAAAAACTTCCTCATGAATGTCAACAATTAGGGACAGGCTAAAAGTGATACCTCCTTATGATGGACTGTTATGCAGCCATTAAAAATGTTTCTTCAGATAGGAAGATAGTTTTCACTCTATATTTTCTACACATTAAATGTTGTTATGCCTTGTGAATGTCGTATGTTAAAAAAAAATGCCATGATAAATTTCAGCAGGACGTTTACTTAAGTGAAATGCAGGATAAAAGATTATGCAGCTGCATTCCTGTTGCTTTGCACTTACCTAGCAATTCTTGATGTTTTCAGGTAATCCTGTTCAGTCCCTGCTCCTTCCTTCCCTATCTTCTTTCATCTCTCTAGGTGCCACACTTGACAGGTCACATCCAGAAGATAAATCTTTCCTCTACCAGTATTCTCGTGATTTTCACCTGAACCATCTGTTTTATATCTTTGAGCTTTGGAAATTTATTTAAATGATGACCCTCCAGCTAAAAAGCTTTGAAAGCAGCTATACTAAAGTGGCCTCATGAGTATTGTCTAAATTTCATGGGCAGAAAAACAAAACCGGATAATGTCTAGAGTCAGAGTGGGACTGAGTCAACAGCTATCAATGAAAAGTTCTGAGTATTCTGATCCGGCTGCTATTTGAAGCCTATATTTTGGTTCTGGTAAATAAAGTGTTTATCTACCTTTTAAAAAATATCTTGAATTTAAACAATTTAAATTGAAATCAGGAAGAGAAGGGCATTCAAGAAATTTATCCTAAAAAAGTAAGCTAACTAATTTAAATAAAGCAGTTTGGTTATAGATGTGAGTTCTGACCATCTGCATCTCAAAGAATGACCAGAGTATATGCATGAATTCTTCTTGATCATATTCTGTATAAGTGTTCTGTAAGTGTGAGAAATATAAGGTTAATTATTTGGGGAAGTGACTGGATTAAAATAGATTTTTGAGGTGCTTAACTTTGTTAAGTTTTACAGTAGTGAGAACATCAAGATGGCATCAGGTTTTCTTCTCTTTTCTTTGCAGGGATGAAAAATCAAGTGAAGCACTGTTTTATTGTAGCAGCAGTCCTTTGAAATTTAACTCAAAAAATGGGTGCTCTTAATTCACAGAACTGCTCTTTTCAGTACCAGCTGCATCAAACACATCAGCTTCTAGATGGTAACTGTCTGTTATTCTTGATTATATTTGGGAAAATACTGTTAAATATCTTCACATTAGGAATGAAAAGGAAAAACACTCATCAAAATTTTTTGGAATATTTTTGCATTTCACTAGCATTTACTGATCTTCTACTTTTCGTGAATATTTCTATTATATCTTATTTCAGGGATTTTGTGCTTTTAGGCATTAGGTTTACTAAATACCACATCTGCCTATTTATTCAAATTATTTCTTTTACTTACGGTTTTTTGCATTATCCAGTTTTCCTGATAGCTTGTATAGATTATTACCTGAATTTCTCTAAAGCCACCAAGCTTCCATTTAAGTGTCAAAAAGTATGTTATTTCTTTACAATTGTTTTAATTTGGATTTCTGTCCTTACTTATGTTTTGGGAGATCCAGCTATCTACCAAAGCCTGAAGGCACAGAATGTTTATTCTCATCAATGTCCTTTCTATATTGGTGCTCAGGGTTACTGGCTGTCATTTTCCATGGTGACAATTTTATTTATGGGTTTTATAACCTCTTGGTCAGAAGTCATTACCTTGGTACAGGCTGTTAGGATAACTTCCTACATGAACGAGACTATCCTATATTTTCCCTTTTATTCCCACTCTTCTTATACCATTAACTCTAAAAAAACACTCTTGCCCAAGTTGATTATCTGTTTTCTTGGTACCTGGTTACCATTTGTAGTGCTTCAAGTAATTATCCTTTTACTTAAAATACAGATTCCAGCTTACATTGAGATGAACATTCCATGGTTGTACTTTGTCAATAGTTTTCTCATTGCTACAATTTTTTGGTTTAATTGTCACAAACTTAATTTGAGAGACATGGCATTACCTGTGGATCCATTTGTCAACTGGAAATGCTGCTTCATTCCAATTATACTTCCTAATTTTGAGCAAATTGAAAAGCCTATATCGGTAATCATTTGTTGATATGTTACCATGTTAAAACTAAAACTTAACAGCTACAAGACGGGTAATTTTACAAACCGGAAGGAATGAGGCCTTGGGACATATACTTAACTGAAGCTCTCCCCTGACCCCAAACTTTCATACCTTTTCAGAATGTGTCTTTTGGGGGCTCTATGTATTAGTTTTCAACAAAATACTTCCAAAAACATATTTATACCTGTTGGCCATACTCATGTTTGTGTTACCCAGAAAACTACTGGATACAAACGGTTATGTAAATCTGAGATTCTTCTGCCAACTTTTCAGATTTAAATAAACATTTTTATTAAACTCAGAGCAAGAAAATTGTTTTCTTTAAATAGTTTAAATGTTCTTTAACATAAGGAAAAGGATTAGCTCAATTTAAATTTAGCTAATTTTTAAAAATACATCGTTCTTAATGCAAATATTCCTAAGAGCAGAGTTTTTGTTGCTCACCATAAAGAACTGGGAGTGGTGACTGGGTCTCTTCCATGACACACGAGATTTGTTTTCAATTGTAACTTATCTGTCATAGAATCTGCATGGCAACCCACAATCACATTGGTAATATATCGTAGTGTGAAAGTAGAATTTCTTATCCTCAGCACTGTTGAGGTTGTGGGTTGGATAATCCTTTGTTGCAGGAGCGGCTCCATGTACTTTGCAGGATGTCTCTGAAGCACCTCTGCCTCCCATCCACCAGATGCCAGTAGAATCTCCTTTCCCCAGTCATCACAATCAGTGTCTCCAGAAATTGCCATACCTGGCTCGGGCAAGTTCTTGCGTGAGAACTACTGAAGTGAAGCAATCTGAATGGCAGAGTAATCTGAAATCACTCTGAGTTAAACTACAAAGACACCATCTAATTTGTCAATGTCTAAATATGCTCTGTGTTCCTTTCCTTCTTAATGTATGACTTTCTAACTGACCATACATGGGACTGAGATATTTAAAACTATTTTACTAATTAATTAGTAAAGACTTAAAACTCTGCAAATTTTAAATCTGGAAAATGTATAGTTGCTAGCCCCTTGTTAAGCTGCTGGTTTATAAGATGCCCCATTCTTCACAAGCTTAAAAAAAAAAAAGAAATTTTTCAATAGACCAGCCAAATGGAAGAAGCTTTTATTTGTAAAGAAATGAACTTACAACTGGTCTACAATATATTATTGTAATATAAACAATATAAATAAATGATCCTGTAGGCCCACTAACCTTCCATCCAGACCCACATGAAGCAATGTTACAACAATATTCTATGTGAAAATGTGCAGGTTAACAAAGGTGCAATTACAAGCAAGTTTAAGCAGCAGAGTATAAGGTGCTTTAATTTAACAGTTAATGTTGCCATCAACAAATATCTGAATGTTCAATTTTACTTCACTGAATACAGACACAACAAATATGAAAATCTAAAATTCATACACATGCTACTGTTAATATGAAAGTGCTTTCTCTTTTAAAAAAATACACCAAATGGACAATCTTTTTACATAGATCATGGTGTGCTCTTATAATGCAAAATTAACTTCATTTTCAGGTTATACATTTTAAAACTGGTAGCTACAGACACCAATCTAGGAACGCTAATGCTAAGAGTTCTAGAACTATTTCATTTCTTGTAAGGAGGACTCCAGTACAATATCCAACATAAAGAATACATCTATACATAATCTTAACATTTGTTTTTTGTAAAGATAAATGATTTCTTTCCCCTTGGTGATGCTTTTTGTTCATCCTGTGTGGTTCAGTGTTTTGAGGTTTTAAAACATGAAAATCCTATTTTAGGGCAATGGGAGGAACCAAAAGGAGGAATTTAAAAAATCAGTTAACATGTGCTTGAAGCATCAAAAATAAAGTTTTTTTAAAAAAATTTATCACAATCTGCCTTTGTTAAATCAACAGCAAAAAGCATGCTTTCAACAAGCAAGAAGACAAAAAGGACTAGTTCAACAGAGGCTTGAAATGCCCGACACCCGTGTCAGCCTCCATTTTGCACACTGCTGTCTGCAACTCCAACCTTCAGCACAAGCTCACCCCTTACTTTGAGGATAATTTTTAGAGCTTACTTTGACTTTTTTTTCCTATGGAAAAAAACATGCTTTTGAATGAGGTGATTGAGAATCTAGTTAAATGTCTTGGAAATTAGATGTCTAAAATTATTACTATCTTTGCACACTCAAACTGGTTTTTTAAAATTTAGAATACACATACAAAAAATATTTATGTAATATTTTAACAGCAAAAATATTTGAAAAACTAGGTAAACTAAAATACTTTAAAAGTTTTAACCAGTACCATGGAAAAAATTTTTTAAACCCAGACTATCTGGTTACTTGGATGTTAGTGTTCCTATTTACAAACACTTTACTACAGATTCTATTCTTAACACTTATTTGGACATTTACCTGCTTTAAAAAGCTGTTAACTATAATACAGAAAAGTTTTTTTCATTTTGCATCTTTATGGAGAAATATATAAAGTTGTGTCAAATGGGAAATTACACCTTAACTCAGAATCCTCTGGTGGCAAGGAAACCTCTACCCAATTAAATCGATCCTCCCATTCTGTTTGCTCCCCAAATATTTGTAAATTCAAGCTCCAAGCACAGAACTTGTTTTATTGTTTACAGGTTCCGCATGTTAAAGGAAACCCTTTTACTATGTAAAAGATGTGTGCTTTCTAAAAAGTAGATATTTGTGATAATTGTAGGATTTTATGTAGTATTTCTTGCTTTAAAAAGAACACAAAAACTAAATCTGTTTAGCAAGCTCCTTAGAGATTTTTCAGTTTTCAGAAGTTACTGCACTGTCAATACTGGGTGTAAAGCTTTCATAGTACAAAATATATCTAGTAAGCCAGCACCAGCTTCCTTGTAATTGTCGTCACACACCCTGCATATCAACACCTCTGGAATAGACTCAAGTGTCAAAGTAATTGAGAAATATGGGCTGTTAAAACAGTTTCAAAATGTAAATCCTAATATTAAGTACCTTTAATTTTATAACCTAATCAGGTATGTGGATTAGTATGCAAAATGTTATAGGAATTGTGATATGATTCAGCCAGACCCCTTGGATATCACCTAGCTTAATCCTTTACCCAATGCATAAATCGGCTCCAACTTTATATTCACTGCATTAAGTAATAATAGTTACATGTTTGTTTATGCCACAATCAAAACTGAGGACAAGAGAGGATTTTGTTATTACCAGTTCCTTAAGTCAGGTATACCAACCACACACTGCACACGACATAGTGAATGTTCAAATGGTTTGCTAAATGAATGGATAAATGAACTGACAGTGTTTAGTGATTTTAGCAAGCATTTAGAAAAATCTCAATTAGCTCATCTGTGTGAATATTCTACCTTAATCCTAAGGAGAACAAAGACTGTGGGTGTCCCAGGAAATGAATCATAATAAATAATTATCTTTTAGCCAAAGCTCTTAAGGGTGAAACAAACCATTAAAAAAAGAAATAAGTAGGAGCAACTTTAAGAAATACCCCACTATGTGGTCTGGAATCATAGTTTATACAGCTTAACAATGATTTAAACAAAATCAACATTTTGAGTAGTACAGGCTCCATACTGAATATTCAGAAGAGGGAACAGGTTATAAGCTTAGTAATGGCCTAAGATGTCACACAGCTAATTTATGAACTAGAGGTAAAACTCCAGTCTCCCAGCCAGTATTTTATCTTCACTTACCATGTTCATTCAGTGATTATGTCCACTTATTATTTGCTACTGAAGTAATTATTTAGTACTACCTAAAATAGAATTCTGGTTTTAACTAAGTATTATAAAAGATTTTAGCAATGAATACATCTGGTTTGCTTAAGCCAAGACTAAAGTTCCTTTTCTAAAATAGGCTGATGTTCATTTCACTACCATTCCTCACCACTCTCTTATAATCAACTTTTTCACCTCCATCCATTAAAGCTCCACAAAATCAAGGATTTAACACTGATAACAGTCCCTAAAGTATAACTTTTAAGTCAGTAAGTGACAACTACTATCAATCCTTAAGATTACTGGCGTCAATTTAAATAGGCGGTCTAAAAGGACTTATTTTTATTACTTACATTTAAAACTGTACCATGTTAGCATAAGTGTTTAAAGTTTATATTGATTTCTTCTGTCCAAATTAAATTTCATTCATTACTTTTTAAAATATTTTAAAACCCTGGCACAGGTTTTCTTTCTATGGATTCATACTGATACCACCAGTATCACTGACAGCAACTGTACTTTTCAAAGGCAGTAGAGAAAAATGTTTCAATATACTTCTTCCCTAATGTCTGAGGCTGAAATAGTCACCTTTAATAACTAAAGTTAAATATTCACAAGCTGTTCAAAGGGGGAAAAAAATAAAACTGTGGAAAGCATTTCCCAAAGCTTCCATGAACATGGCACCTTAAGAGGTGTGTGTCAGAGTAGAACGGGAGAGCTTTCATTAGAGAAGCTGGGCTTCAGGGGGAGGGCAGGTCTCCCTTCTCATGCAAGTATACTAAAATGCAAGTTCAGAAAAAGCCAGATGTTCTGCTCTGGAATATGATGATGATTATTATTTGTACTAATGCTTTACAACTTTTAAAAACAACTATCATAGTATTATTTTAAAATAGATTAAATAAGCTCTGAAAAATAATATGTAAAAACTTTAAAAAATTCTTAGAAATTTAGGAGTTTTCCAAAGAAGATAATATAATTTTCAACATTTTTTACTGAAGAAATGGCTTGTATTAGTGCTATGAGTCAAACTATATGATATTTTTTGAACTTCTAACAAAAAAGGAGTATCTTCCCAAAGAATCTTTTTAAAGTGTACAGCTTATAGGCTGAAATTAAATTTTAATAAGATTGCATATTTACTTTCCCTAATACTGCATTTGTGCTTATTTAATTGAATCACAACTGTTAAGATAAAAATCAAATGCTCTAAACAGATTCAGAAATATCAATTTTTATGAAAGTAGATTAAACAGTTTTTTCAAGAACCACACTACTGTGCATCAAAGAAAGAGGTAGGCTTGTAGTTAATGAAATCCACAATAAGAAAACAGAACCCTACAACTCCAGTCATCCGATTCTTAGACCAAGACACAACCTAACAAAATACTATCCTAAGAATGCCTCTCTTTGTATTAAATCCACTAGGTTGGTTGATCTGGAGTACCTGAAAACAGATACTCTCTCCTCTATATAATTCTGATAACTCATAAAACCTTTGTGTTCTTGACAAATACTCTTCCCAACTATACCAGCTGTTAACCTTTCTCAGAAGTCAAAAATCACCGATGTATGTATCACTAGAACTATTAATGTGCTCCTAAGGGCAGGATCATTTGATCAGGAGAGTAAAAGAATGACTCTGATTGCAGGTAAATCTTGACATTAAGGGGGGGAAAAAAAAAACCCTATATACTGTTTATTGCAGTAAATGGAACCCAACCATTACAATTCATTTGAACTACGAACGGCCATATCTATACAACACAACCTCACTCAGTTAACTGAATTATCCTCTTGGGTCTGGAATGCTTTTCTTGCTGTCTCTTCCTCCACTTCCCTGTCATTTCCCCTAGAAGCCCGTCCCCAAGGCCCACTGGCAGTGTGCAGAAAACAACTGAGGATACATCGCGCAGAGTGGCCGGTGTATTGCCCTGTACAGCCTCTCTACTGCCCAGAGGCTGCTCAAAGACATGAGCCGAGTGTCAGGTGTTAGAAATTCCTGCTGAAATTAACCCTCCTACAGAGTCTTCTGTAGGGCTTCTCAAGCAAAGAAGAAAGTTAGCAGTCTCCTTCGGGCTTGAGGAGGTAAGGGGGAATGAGGCCCTTTCATCCTATTAGGCAATAGTGCTCCTCAATGCCCCTTGCTCAGAGGCAGCATGAGTTCTTGCCATTCAATGAGGGGGAGGATCTTCAAACCACAAAATATAACCAAGCTGTTCTAGTTGAAAATACATTTTTTAAATGTTCTAACAGTATGTCCAGCCAGGGATTTCTTCCACTTGATATGGCTATGAAGACAGCATCTTTCCCATGCATCTGTACTAGTTTCTTCTTTCCAAAATTCTTTACACACATGTAAACACAGCCTAAAATTACACACAATCTATGCATTGCCTCACTACCATACTTTATGCCATGATGGTACCAAAACCTTGCAAATGCAAACAATGGGTTTTCATAACATTTAGCTGAACAAGTCAAGTGACATGAGGCACTAGAACAGATTTCAATCCAAGACTGGTATTTGAATACACTGACTATAATATCACACTAGATATGGGAAAATTAGCTATGTTGAAAATTTAAGTGGGCTACCTAAAAAATTCTTTTTCTATTTAAATCTGTTTAAAACTAGGTAAAATGAGTAGTAACTTCAAAAGTATAGAGATGTGTTCAGTGTTAAGGTGGGATAACTAAAAGTGGCAGGTCTCTTGTCTGCTTCTCTCCAATCCTCAAGCTCCATCACTAACATTGCTTTCCTTCTATTCCACATTCTCTGTTCAGAGGGGACAGCCCTTAAACTAGGACTTTAAGAAAGGGTCTGTTTAGAGAATGCCCCAGCAAATTAAAAGTACCATCATGGGAAAATAACCAGCCCCTTAGAAAGCGACAGGCTGTGGGACAGCACTCTCACAGTGATCTTATCAAAGCTGCACTGCTGTGTAAGACACATGCCCACGTAAGGCTTGAGGAAAATGTGCATCACGTAAGAAACAATTTTTACAAACCAGCTGTTTACTTTTTTAAGCACACGTGGCTTAACGCAAGTAAAATTTCAGACTTGTAGGGATTTCCTTCCTCAACGGGAGAAGAGTGCCTTAGTATGAAGAAGTCAGAAAATGCAAACTTAGGTAGCAAAAAGAAGAACTTCCCATGTCCCCTTTCTGCTTATCATTCCCTCTTAATCAAAATCCTGAAACAGGTAGTAATATGAAGGAAAATAAGAATAACAGCACTCTCCCCACCTATTTCATATTAAAACTGTGCTTAGAGCTTAGGAGGGAGGTGGGCATCCAGTGTTATCATCTATATCCATTAAATATATAACCGAAATTTTAGAACTCACATGATTAAATCATCCAGAAAACAGCTGTGTCAATGGTAAAGCTACTACTTTAAAAGTCAATGAGCCATTTCTAAAATAAACTGGGAAAAAAAAGCAAGTGTGTTTTTAAGTATGTTTTGAGTGGGGACAACAGAAGATCCGGACTGTTTTTACCAGTATTACAAGATTTAGGATTATAAGGAGCTCTCCAGTGGAACCCCCCTCGTAAGTGTCCGTGGACGCCAGCACGGTGTGAGGCACAGGGGCTCTGGGCAGGCAGACGACGACCGGCATCAGAAGAGCGAGCGAGCAGGAGGAGGACCTGGGACGCAGCTCCAAGTCCACACCCTAAAGGCTAAATATCGACAATATAGTTATGGGAGGTGATCATTACTGCCAGAGGAGTCTATCCCCAGAGAATCAATTTTGTGTGAACTGTGCCTATGGATCGTCTATGACAGTTTTAGTTCCAGGAGAGAGTTTCCTTTGTGCCCTTCAGCCCCCATACAGTGGACCAGCTCCTACTAACGCTTAGCCTTTACTTGTGTCCCAGAGTTGCAAGCTGAGGGGAAAAGTCAAAGCATATGACAGCTCTTGTCATCAAGATTAACTGCTAATAAATGAAAACTGACTGTAGAGTACCTACCTTTCCTTGAAACTTTAATCCAGTAATTAAAAATGTGATATAAAAGAAATATGTGACATATACTACAAGCTATTGTAGGTCTGGAACATGAGCCTTATACTATATTACATATTCTAATCCTACACATAACTATCAGTAAACATCTTTTTTTTTAAAAAAAAAACATTACTACACAAAAGAATCCCACAAAGCATACATTCAAACAAGAGGCATCTAAAGGTTAAAAAAATTACCCGCTGTATTTTTGTATAAAAATAATCAACATTCTCTAATGTACACAAAGCCAAAAGATAAATATCTGTGATGTCTTTAATGACATCTTTAGTCTTCTAATAGCGTAACACAATCTTTCTGAAAAGATCAGTGACAATGACTGAAACCCATGGACTCTTCCTCACTTACTGAACTTCTGCCAAATATCTGTGTATGTTCCTTCAATTACTAAAACATTTCCATTGTGTGGTAGAGAGAAGATGCTAAGAGAGTCAAATGTTTTTGATGTCCAGGACTACATATAGCTTACAGGGCTCCCACAACAACTTTTAGTGCTGTAATTCTAACGCAACACTAACTGTTCAATGAAAAGTTTCACTTTAAAGATTTTTTCCCTAAAACATGTACATACAAAATTAGACTCAATTTATCCAAGAGTGCTTTGCAGGAAGCATACAAGGATTTAGTCAAGGAAAAAGGAATGTGCATTCTAGCTAGATCCACCTTGTTCAACACTAGAAAAATCCAAAGACCAACCACATAGCCACTACAAACTAGCACCCTGCCAGCAAAGGCTGAGCCCTGGTTCTTAAGGCATAATCATATTATGCCTTCATCAGTGCAGAGAGATATGAAAGATTATTATTATGAATCAATACTGAGAGTCAAATTATTGGTATGTTTGTCCTCATTTTATATACCAACTTAATGGATTTCCCCCTTTTCTAGAATGCATAAAGCTGGGAATAATATTCCAGCAGAACATTAATGCTATCTGAAATATTTCCATTATATGATGTATTCCTTATTACTTCCCATCTATTTTTTTCCCCCAAAATATCCCTCTGGGTGAAAAAGACCAGCATTAATCACTCCTACATTATGGTTTCTCAACCTTGGCACTACTGACATTCTGGACCAAGCAACTCTGCTGTGCATTCGTAGGACATTTAGTGACATCCCTGTCCTCCACACGCCAGATACCAACAGCAGCCCTCCCCACCCCGCCCCGAGGCTATAACAGCCAAAGTGTCCCTTGACACTGTCAGATGTCCCCTGGGGAACAAAACTGACCTCCATTTAGAACCACTGCTCTAAATGAACAAAAACTAAGAGGAAAACGAACTTCCTCCGTCACACCAAATTCTTGGTCAAGTTTGGAACAGAAACCAAATCTTCTAACTTCCAGATCAGTACTATTCATGCTAGAATGCAATTCTTTTTATAGATAAAGCAACTGTTTAACATACATTTTTTTAAAAAACATACACTGATATCTCATTGCATACAATTCCAGTCACTGGACTCCAAAATTATTCCTAAATTACTCCTAAATTATATCTCTCATGACAACCTATAGAAAACTTATAGGGTAGAAAAATGTATAAGAAAACCAAATCAAAAGAGGAGAAATGTAAATTATTAAATTACTTTCAAAAGGATTTTTATATTAATGATAAACATCACCTTTAAAAAATTATCTAGTAAAACACTTTGAAAAATATCATGACCCTCTGTAACAAGTCTTTCAACGTTGTGTGTAACCTGTAAAATTAATTCACCCATGTTAGCTAATTATGAAAATGTATAATGAATTATTGTATCTGTACAAGAAATGTCAGCCTTTGATGCAGAGATCTCAATGTGCTTGGCTATCCGCCACAGTAAGTGATAGTATTTTAGGCCAACTTGAGCCTTTACCCTTACAAGTTTGTTTAAGAATACAATTGCTGTTATCTCAAGGCCTCATGATCCTGTTAAGATTCCTTCAGAGAGTTGATGCGCGCACAGATCTTCAGGGCCGGGCCCAGCTTGATATTCATCGCGCTCATGAGATGGTCTTCTTTGAGCAGGAGAAGAGCCTGTCCGTCAATCTCCTGTGCTCTGAACTCATCTGCGATATCCTGGCAGCCTAGAATTTCATCAAGAGGAAGGGTGTTAGAATACATACACAGCAACCAGACATCACTCCTAACAGTCACAGTTAAGTCACTTAACACAGGCTGAGAAACAAATGAAATTTACTGATGGCAGTCGTGGGCTCATTCTGGAAGAAGGCAGTATTTCTTGACATTCTAAAAAAAAAATTAAGAATTCAAAATCTAGGTAAAGCAATTTACTTGGAATTCTTGTCTTAAAAATAGTACTGCAGAAATAATTAGTAAGAGTCAGGTTAAATGTACAGCTCGTTCAGTCCAGACATAACACACCTTCATAAAAGGACAATGCTGTCACCTGAAAGCACGCCACACACACGAGCCTGCCTTGACTACATACAATACCTCAAGAACTCTTCTTTGTATCAGATATCCTTCACATACAGGTACAAAAGAATAAAGCATACTGTTCTGCCACTTAATTTAGAAATATTTTCTCAAGTACCACTTTCATTTTCATTGGTAGTTTTATTCTGATTTACAACCTTCGACTGCCAGGCACACCTGAAACATTTTTATTTCACTCAGCATAGAACCAATCCATCAAAATTATAGTATCAATCTACTGTTGAAATGTATTACAATACTCAACTTGTAATTTCAACTTCAAATCTTAACATCATTGGACTCATCTCCACTTCTGATAAAACAAATTAATGAAATTTTGAGCTTGCTGGGCTAATCTCTTGACAAATAACCAATATTTTACCTTTCAGTGTAAACTGGGTGCTTTAACAAGTAACAGTGTGAACACTCTACTTGACCCTCGAACGTGTTTATTATCCACCACATTTTGCACAGCTAATGAACTTCCCCACTAAGGGTAAAGAAACCAGCAGGGAAAGTAATGAATTAAGGAACCATGAGAGGAGAGAATACAAAAACGTGGAAGCTTTCTTATAAAAGACAAAATTATGAAAGTGAATTTAAGAATAAAAAAACTAAGAGCTTAAAGTCTCTTTTCTTCAAATCCGCATTCTAAGGGAAAACACAAAGAAAAAGATAATGCACAATGACTATGGTTACATTATACCTTTGGATAGGACTTTGTTGGAATCATTCCTTCTACTGCAAATGTATCATCCTCTTGTTTATGTAAGATAATAATGTAATTCCTATAACCCCAGTACCAAACACAAAACATTGCAGGTGCTAAACACATGTATTTTTGGGTAAGTGAAGGACTGAATGAATAATGAACAAAAACAGAATATGCTAAAAAGGAGCCATCTGTAAGAGTAATGCAAAAAAAAAATTTTTTTCTGTATTCAGCTGTGTGGCCAGCTTTTCTCTTGCTTATTTCTTTCCTAACTTCTCTACTGATTGTAACCTGCCTGTCTCTTGTGTGGCAGTCAGCTTTTCAATTCCTCTATTTTAATAATTTCTCAGATTTTTAAAAATTGCTATTTCAAAAGTACCCTCCACAGAATTTTTATGGTTTTGGCTATTTACCATATAAAAGAGACTAAATAGTTAAAATGAGATTACTCACCATAGAAAAGCCCCTTTTCTTTTCCCAGAGGTAGCTCTCAAAACTGAGCAGACAAAACTGACTAATCTTGCATCTAGTTGTGACTTCATCCTCCTTTTTATGAAAGAACTAATGTTCTTCTCTCTTCAGTCTTACTTACAAGAACACAGGAAAGAAAAGAAGAGAAAGAGAGGGTAGGACTTAGATTCAGAAAAGAGAAGGAGTGAGAAGTGATGAGGACCGTAAGAGCTACATTTGGGAATAGAAACAAGGAGTTCTCCATGAGGAAATTCATAGTGTGTTCTTGTTCCTCAGTATTACCAGATCCCTCTTTAAATGTCTTCTTGCAGGTAGACAAAATATGTGTTAGCAAAATAATAAAGAACAAAATGTGAGGAAACCACATGATCAAACAGGAATGAATTATCTTCAGAATTTTAGATCACAACTTTCTTAAGCCAATCACAAAAAAGGTTGTTTATACGTTAATATAGAAATGAAAAAAAATAAGGTGATTTTTAAAAGAGGAGGCAGAAGCAAATATGCTTCCTAAAGCTAGAGAAAGATGATTTTTTTAAAAAATGTAGATGCCCAAGGTATACTGAGCTAAAATTCTATGAATTTCTGACATATTTAGAATCTACACCTATGCAACAGCTAGTGCTCCAGGGACATTACAGAACATATCCCGACTGCAGCAAGTTGTCAGCTTAGCTGGCTTCACATCACCAAATGCAGATCGGGATGGGATGGACCTCTGCACACAGACATGGGTCCCAAAGGAACCTCACAAGCCCAGTCACATTTCCAGCTAACCCTAAAACAAAAACACCCCACACAAAAATTAACCTCAGTAAGGATGATGAAAGGCTATCACCTGCACTCAACACTACAGAACAAACGAGTCCCTATAACAATATTATGAAACTATAGTATATAGTCATGTTTCTAAACAATACCTACTTTTTACACCTACATAGAAACTAAACCTACTGCAGATTCACAGACCAATAAATACAGACTAAGGTGATCTTTGCAAAACGCAGTTCACTGTATCAAGGAAGAGTTAAAGAAGATAACTGCAGTAAACGGAGAGTACAAAGAACCTTTCCTATGGAGAACTTTTTAATGTACGAACATTTAGAAGAAGATAATATTTTACTCTGGTAACAGCTCTGAGACTTGTCTGCATACCAGCACTGATATGGTCTCACCAAGATGGTTCACAAGATGACATACAACAAGAAGAGAAAACTCTAGGAATAAATACAGGTGCCCTGATGAAAGAGGGAAACCCAGTCTCAACTGGAAAGAAACAAAAATGCAAGAGATTACAAAATTTGCAAGTTTTTTCATTCCATGAGAAGAGCTCAGGGGAAAAATAAAATACAGCCCTGTATGAGCTGAAAGAGGCTCAAAAGGATTTACAAAGGCCAGATGAACATAGAGAAATGATGGTAACAGCCTTTTCTGGTTGAGATTTACCTTAAGCCACAGGCATTATTCAGAGAAAGACAGAGAAAGAAGATGTAACACATCACACAAATAAGCTTGTTACTCAGCCTGTCAAAGCGGTTTAGAAATACTCCCATTTAATCAATAAAAAAGTAGAGTTATATTCAGCACACTTAGAATTTCATATTAAGAAACAGTCTGTAATTAATATGTAATTTTCTCTAAAAGGCTGGCAACAAAACTGTCTTAAACTCAATAAGGCAAGCATCTCAAGTTATAAGATATAATTTTTTTTCAATTCAATGAAGGAAGAACAAAACAAAAAAGTTAGCCTTTGTCCTAATAAAGCAGCCAAGAGTAAGTAGCCTTGTGGCAAATGGATGCTGGGGAAAATTAGAAAACTAGCCCTAAAAAAGGCATATGAAGTGATAGAACCATCAGCAGCATCTGTTACTTGTTATCTGTTTGGCCAACTATTTTCCTCCTCCCCAAAGGAAAAGAAATATTTCCCCCTCCAAATGAGAAATCAGGCTAACAAACAGTTCATATATCCCATTTGGAAGACTGAGACTGTCTAAAGATGACAGAATCAAAGTTCAGCCCCAGGGATTAGCGTCAGTTCCAATGTTAATTCTCAAGATACCTAGACCGGTATAAAACTTAAAATTTATTTCATTAAATATTAAAGCCACACCCTGTGAAGATTCACCATTCTCTAATACATCAGCTTTTTAAAGCAGGTTCTAAACCCACATGGTCAGCACTTGAATCACACCTAAGTTTTCCTAGGTGCATGCTTAAAAATCTTCCCATGAAAAATGTATCCCTTCTTTAAACAATTTCATCTTTCTTTAAAAGTGACCATATCTTATTTGATAGAAAAAAAAGCTTATTTCACATTTCTAAAATAAGTCATTAAAAAATAATTTAATAAAACTCCAGAGTTCTGTATGTTTATCTCCCTCAAACTTGACATCCTGATAAAACCACTGAAAGTTGAAAACATCAACTCAAAAATGCATTTAATACACCTAAACTTCCAAACATCATAGCTTAGCTTAGCCTACTTTAAACATCCTCAGAACATTAAGAATAGCCTACTGTAAGTAGGGCAAAGTCATCTAACATATAAAGCCCATTTTATAATAAAGTGTTTAATATTTCATGTAATTTATTGAATGAATACTGTACTGAAAGTAAAAAGCAGAATGACTACATGAGTCAAGCATGGTTGTGTCAGCTATTTACCCTCATGACAGCATTGCTGATGGAGCTGTCCTGCCCAATTTGCGGTGAGCACCATGCTTCGTATCACCAGCAAAAGATCAAAATCCAAAATCTGAAGCACACTTTCTACTTAATGCATATCACTTTTGTACCATCATAAAATCTAAAGTTCATTAAGTCTATCCATCACAAGCCAGGAACCATCTGTGTAAGGTAAAATGACTAACATTTTTTTTTTAAAAAAAGAATACTTCTGAATATATTTTCTTCACTCATAACATTTTAGCTCTAAGTATGCTTCTGAGACAGTGGTCACCTTCATAGAAAGACTGATTACCAAATATAGGTGGATTAGTTTTAGTAAGTCTGTGGACAAGTTCAAAGGGGATGTATTTTTCTGGAAAGCTTGTTTCAAGAGAAATGGTATGATTCACCAAAAACCCAAAATGGAACAAATGCTTTTAAAAGTCTTATTTTCCATATTCATAAGGTTAAAGTGAATGATAAAAGATTTGCTGATTAAAAAAATACATACTGTCTCAACATATAGAGGCAGTGTGGGTCTCATCATTGGCAAAGGCGGTCTTTAGTACCCAGCCCAGTAGAGAAAGTGGATATAAAAGATTACTGTTTAGTAAAGATAAAAGAACATAACGACTTAAGCTGATGGAAAGAATACCAAATGAGAGAGCAGGAAATATAAATAAGAAAGTAACCCTCAATATTGGAATGGAATATCGTAACTGAATTTCATTGTCTACTTAATTTCAGAAGTGTTCTTGATGTCTTAAACTTTATGCAAAGAATCAAAGAATGCAGCCTCCTTTAAAAGAAACAGCATTTTTGTTTTGTCTTTTTAAAGAAACAAAAATTTTACCACACTCTAAAAGGTCTTGATTAGCTTTCAAAAATGTAAAAAAATTTTTGGTCTGTGTTATTTCATTTAAAAAAGGTTAAATTAGGAAATAAGGAGGAATATTGATAAGACTAGAAAACTGGAAGAGCAGAGGGAAGAAGTGTCTGACTCAATCTCTCTACTGACCTCTCGAGAGAAATCAGACTGAAGAGAAGAGAGCACCTTTAATATCTTCACCGGCTGAGCTGTCACAGCAGAAGCAGGACTAGTCAGTTTTTATCGACTTGGGGGGTATGAGAAAATACCCAGTTGTGCTGAGGGAATAAGCAAGAGGAAACAGATCACATTTCAATAGCAAATGCCATTTAATGAGTATATATACACAGAACTTCTCTAGCCCTTTTTTGCAACAGGTGTGGATGGATCTAATGTCATTCCTGGGTGTGTGCACAAGGCAAAAATCAAGGTCAAAGTGGTCAATCACATACCGGGCAAAGAATGGATGAAGGCCCAGACATCATCAACTGTCCATATAGATGGCTCTGTTTGTGAAACTGGTAGCAGGTCACTGTTTTCAGGCATCTTCCTCATCCTCACATCCCGAAGCTCACGCTCTCTTTCCCGCTCACTCTGCCTACGCAGGCGTGTTGTCATAGCAGATGGCACAGAATCTTCGTGAGAAGCCAAGTCTTCTTCTGCAGATGGATAAGTAATTGGAAGCTGGAAAATGTAGTACAAGTAAAATACAGCACTGCACTTTCCTTGTATTTCTGAAAAGGGTATTGTACATTGAATCAAGGTTTCTACAGACCTGCCTAAGGATATGTTCTCTTGCTGCTCCATCAGGGCCACTTGGACGACGGCCACGATGCCCAAGACTTTGATTATCAGGCTTACGATTCCAACGACTAAGTGCAAATTTTTTAGAACAGCTAACATTGTACCTAAGAAATTCAAGTAAGAAAAAAATATTAAATGATGTATGGGATGCTCCACTTAGTAATTATGACCTTAATTAAAGTGCAGTTGTGAATCAGTAAATGCCATTTATTTCATTATGGATTATAATAGCTCAGAAAGTAAATTTGTGTTCAATAAATTTACTTATGCTAATAGTAAAAAAAAAAAAAAGCACTCATTATATATATTATAGCTCTCAATGTAATACTGGACACCTATAACAAGGTACTGGTATCTCCTAGTAACAGCATGATAGTGGGAAACTTTCTGCAAAATACAAACAATAACACATTTTTGCAGGTGCAAAATAATTCAAGGTTCCAGGAGAAGAAAAAATTATTAGTTAACTATTTAGATGATCATTCAAATGGTTATTTTCTTGGGTAACCATTTCTGAAGAGATTTTTTTAAAAAGAGATTAATATAGTAGAGAAGAGGAAATCTCAAATGGCTAGTAAAATATTTTTCAAATATAACTAAATTCAAAGACAGAAAGGTAAAGTTGAGTTATCAAAGTTATACAAGGAATTCATGGTTCTTAGGAATTCAGGAAATTCAAATATATTTACTTCTTTAAAACTGGCTGGAAGAGGACCTCCCTGGTGGACTAGCAGTTGGGAATCTGCCTGTCAATACAGGGGACACAGGGTGATCCCCGTCTGGGAAGACTCCGCGTGATGCAGAGCAGCCAAGTGTGCGCCACAGCTACCGAAGCCCACAGACGCAGAAGCCTGGGCCCCACAGGGGAAGGCGCCACAGCAGAAGCCTGGGCCCCACAGGGGAAGGCGCCACAGCAGAAGCCGCCACAGAGAACCTCACATGCCGCAACTAGGGCAGCCCCTGCTCTCCAAACCAGAGGAAGTCCTCGTGCAGCCATGAGGACCCAGCACAGCCAAGACAGTTATTATTTTTTTTAAAAACTGGCTGGAAGATTATTTTATCAGAACCAACTAATATTTTTAAGTGTATATTTTAATCTATATTTTTTAATGTGGAATACTTTATTAACTTGCATATCATCTTATGCAGGGACCATGCTAATCTCTACAGCATTCTAATTTTAGCATGTGTATTGTCAAAGTGAGCACTCTTATGATTTTTTTAACATCTATCTTTATAAGGCCCTGGTGGCTCAGATGGTAGAGTCTGCCTGCAATCCAGGAGATATGGGTTTGATCCCTGGGTTGGGAAGATTCCCTTGGAGAAGGGAATGGCAACTCACTCCAGTATTCTTGCCTGGAGAATTCCACGGACAGAGGATCCTGGTAGGCTACAGCCCATAGGGTTGCAATGAGTCAGACACAGCCGAGCAACTAACACTTTCACTTTTCTAAGGCATGATGACGGTTTAAAAGAGTCCTGTGAATGGGACTTTCCTGGAGGTCCAATGGTTAAAAATCCACGTTTCATTGCAAAGGGTGCAGGTTCAATTTCTGGTTGGGGAACTAAGATCCTGCACGTTATGCAGTGTGGCCAGAAAAAAAAAAAAAAGAAAATCTTTTGCCATTTATTGGGTTCCAACACCCTAAACAGAGGCAGGGCAATTTTTTCTATAAAGGGCCAGATATTAAATGTTTTAGATTTTGTAGGCCACACAAAGGTTCTGCCACAATTATTCAACTCTGTAACATAAAAGCAGCCAGACAGTAATGAATGAGAACAGATGGGTTCCAATAAAACTTTACGTAGTGACACCTGGGGCCTTCCTGGTGGCTCAGATGGTAAAGACTCTGCCTGCAACGCAGGAGAACCGGGTTTTATCCCTGGTTGGGGAAGATCGTCTGGAGAAAGGAACGGCTACCCACTCCAATATTCTTGCCTGGGAAGTCCCATGGTAGAGGAGCCTGGCGAGCTACAGTCCATGCAGTCACAGTCAGACATGACTGAGCAATACATTATACACAGTGACAATTAAATTTAATTTTATATAATTTTCATGTATCACAAAATATTCTTCTGATTCTTTTTCAACAACCACCTAAAAATTTAAATACTATCCTTAGTTCAGGGGCCATACAAAAATAGGCTACAGAAAGGACTCAGCCTGGGTATAATCCGCTGACTCCTTCCCTAGAAAGAAGACTGAAAAGAGATCATCTAAAAACAAATTTCTGAAAAGTTATAAAAAGGCTAAAAAAATGCACATAGTGCCTCTTTTTTTACTCATAAAATTGCTGTTGTAATTTCTTATTTTCAAAATTCTTTTTGAAACTCTTTTGCTCTAAGATGATTTTTCAGGGAAATGACAAGAATAAATCCCAGTTAACTTTGCTATTGAAAACTGTTTTACCAAAAGAAAATTCCCTCACTTATGTTTATGGAAATATCAATGAGGTGGAAGGAGTACTACAGAGAAAACAGGCTATTTTTCCCCTAAAAATATAAAACAGAAGAGAGTGTCCTGATGGTCACTTCATTTTACCCTAAAACAATTAAACAAGCTCCTCCTGTGTTCAATATGCTCCTCTGTGGGCTCAGCTCTAGAAGTTTCTGATTTCCATTTACATCAACTAACAAACTTCTTTCCCAACTGACTGAAGAAGAGAGAAGAGGGGCTAATTTGCTCTTTACTCCCTAAATACTGAGATATCGAAGAAAGATAGCTAGGCACACATGTAAACAGCATTTCTTACCTGACCTAACTTATCCTCTCCTCCTTACTCTTCTCTCCTCTGTATTTTCCCACCTTAGGACCTCTAAGCCTCTAAAGAGCTTCACCTAAAGGTATACTAACCTGACACCTCAGCAATCATCTCTGGGAGAAGAGTGATGGTAGTGTGCTAACTGTCCTGAAATATTTCTGAACAGTTTAGAAGTTTAAAAGATTCTGAAAGGCAATCCTCCTCCCTCAGTTTTTAATCCCTTTGAATCAGAAAGCCACTATTTTTTCTTGTGGTATATGCAAACAAAATAGGAGTTACATAATTTGATTAGGACTATCAAAATAACATGAAAGAATATCTGAATAACAGACTGACAAATAAAAAACCATTAACCCATTTTCAGAGGAAAATACTTCTGCTTATTTGACTTAAGTTTTACAAAACATATTTTAGGTGCACCATACTAAATAATGTATTCATTTAGGGAGCAAGAAATTCCCTAGATGTATCTTTAAGATCTTAAATTCCTTGAGAAAATAACTTTTGGAATACAGAACAAAGTTCAAAATAAACTGTGCACACACTTGACCTTCAGTGGGAAATACCTGTATTATGATTTATTAACAGAATTAGAGAGGCTTTCTTTAATGTAAACTAAATTTGTGACTAGATCAATGAAGATACTTAAAAAGGCTTTTGACAGTAGTACTATTTACCTATAATATTACTGAAAAAACATTTAGAAAAGACAGGCATTTTTGTTATCAAGTAATATAACAATGTGGAGAATTTATGCTACAGATGTCCCACTTAAAACCCTAAAATAAACAGGATATGGTTAAAAGAAACATTTTAAAATATAACAAAGTAAATCCAGGTATTTCAATATTGTTAAAACAAAGGACTAGCAGTGTATTCACAGGAGGGATTCTCCTCACCATATTCTTACCACCTGGAGATTGATTGCTACTTCAATATTTGATTATGCTATATGTGTTATGAATACAGTTTTCGCCAAGTAAAATTTAACTAAATAGCAAAGTAGCTCCAGATAATGTCTATTTGATAGTATTCTTCTACAGTACCTAGTTTTGACTAATGGCAAACTCTACAAGTTTTTTAGTTTTGTTACAGCAGTTTTTGGCTTGTGCTTTAGGAAACTTGAGAACAGAAATACCTTTTGGCACATGACATAGTGCAGAATCGTTTTGACCGAAGAAACTCATTAGCATACCCCATCTTTCCACAAAATTCACACTTGAGCAACTCACTGTCCATTTCTTCTAATGTCTCTAAAAAAGAAAAAAGCAGAAAAAAAATCCAAAAACTTAATTATGGCAAATTTTCTTTTAGCTTCTACTTTGGTGGGATGCTGCCAGTGTTCAGACCCTACAGGAGACTTAAAAGGAATGGTCTTTTAACTTTTCAATCCACAGCCACTTTGGCAAGGCAAAGCCCCCCAAACCACCACTTCCACCAATTCCCTCTGGCTCCTGCATAAAAATCTTATGGAGTTTTCTCTATATAAATAAATAATACATTTTTAAAGGTTCATTTGCAAAGAATCCAACCTACCTAAAATGTGCAAATAAAGTCACTACCTTCCAAAAAGTATTATGAGTATATGAATTTTGATACATTGTGCTATGTATAGTATACATAGCAAAGAACACAATTCTAACTGGAGAAAATGAGGACTCCAAAAAAAAGACTTTGATTTCAGAGGAGCATTTAAAATAGTTAACACTCTCTAAGATCTGCAGTGTACAACAGAATATATAAAGATGTATTTATCTAATTCTAAAAGTCCCTTTTAGTTATATTAAAATAATTTACATTTATCTTCAAAATTTTCAATAGTTTTGTAATTTCTAACCTCTGCTCTTTTTTGTCAGGGTCCTCTCTGTTAATTAGAATGTCCTTACTCTACCTCTGTATCCATAACTTTCTTCGAGTCATACCACAGGACCTAAAGAAACTTCCCACCTACATCCTCAAGTATCCAGCAGCAGTCACCTATAAGCAAGCAACTTAATCTTTAGAACCCAACAGTTTTCTCATCTGTAAAATGGGGCTTATGATACCTTCCCAAAGAAATGTAGTGAAGATTACATGAATGCCTAACAGGTAGCAGACATAAGAGAGTGACAGTTCCATTTCCTATCTTCCACGTAAGAATTAGGAGTACCAAGACCTATAACAAGTAACTTAAACACTTCAATGAAAATTGTTTAACTCTTAAATCACCATATTTTACCATTTACATGCATCATCGTAATTCCTATGCTAAGTCATATAAAATATACCAAAAAAAGGAACTCTAACTAAAGCTTTTAGCTATGAGTTCTTCATGTGCTTTTCTATGTTATTCACTTAACCAAGACTTATTAAGATGAAGAAAGGGACTCTCAAATGTAGACATGAACAACATGCACTCATACATTCAAGGATCACTTTATCCCAGTGTTACTGGAGAAGCAAATGGCAAAGTGCTAAATTAAGTGAAGGCAGCAAAAACACACTGTGAAATATCTGAAGTGTCAAAGGACATCCAAAGACACTGTCATGACCAGTCAAGTCATAAACTAGCAAATGATCACCTCAAAAAAATTCGCAGGACTATCTTCATAAGCAAACTCATCTATTTAGTGGCAATGAGGAAGAAAGAGTCTCAAACCAGGTAAGGTAAAAACTGTTTCTTCCAATGACCCAGAGATGGCTTTCACACAGCTCTGCCCACAACACATTCCTGGCACCTAGTGTCATAACTTCCAGGAGTATTGCTTCTAGTTTGTCATGCTTATAACCAGATATGACCTTGAAAAGCCTGTACTGGATACAGAACCTCTCGTTTGACCACCAATCCAGCCCCAAAGAGCCCATTCTTTGGGCTGTTTCATTTTGACTCTACTGAAAGCTTTATTTCAAAACTTTGAATTAATTAACATAAAAATATGCAACACTTGATAAGAGGTTAGACAACCTTATGAAGGTGAAGGAAATGTTTTTGCTGACTAGAGAGGCGAGATCCCAAACAGGTATGGTCTAAGGGTTAACAATCTGACAAAAATTTCACATCAGTTTTATTTCTCATAAAGAAGAGAGGAACATTAACAGATTCAAAGAAGTCCAGTTCTAATTTTGGTCAGAATTTCAACAAATTTGGTAATGTTACCAAGGTACTTTTTCACATTTGTAAATAAAAAATTACAGAGCCAAATAAGTTTTTAAAAACTATTGCTTAAGATAATAAAGATGGGATTCTATAGAGATAGCTGGCAGTTCCCTAATATCAGTTCTTCACTTTTCTCCCCCAGTAACAAAAGCCTAACTTTTAGCTAGGAATATAGCCACTGAGAATAAAAAGCACAACTACTGCCCTATGTGTGGCCAATTTCTGACCAAATTCCGGGTGATGCCCTTCTTACTGATTACAATGTTATCATGAAGATTAGCTATCTTGGAAAGCTATCATGTCAGCTATGAGACACTGACAGCTTATGTGCCCAACATAATGGAGCCCTGCACTGCTTACCTTTAGACTATGTCAGAGAAAATGAAACTTCTTACTTAACCAGGTATTAGTCTGGGTGTCTAATGGAGTGGCCAAACATATACCCTAACTAACAGAGATCCCTAATTTTTTTTGTGCCAAGAGGAATTATTTTTCAATTTTCCTGAAGACTTGAGATCACGTGATGATCAGCAGTAAGAAGGCAATGAGACAGAAACCATCATCAGCATGATGATTTACCAGGGAAGATGTAAGACACTTTGATAAATCACATTTTAGATGGAGATTCTGGTCCAAACAGAGATACAGTTAATCCTTTAAAAAAAGAATAATCATTACATTAAGTTTTTCATACTGAATTAAACTGCATACACTCGTAAAGCCAAAGCCACTAAATAAATGACCTCATCATTTCACTCTATAGTACTTCCCATAAACAATGAAATAAGTATACAGTAACAGAAATACTTGATAAAATTACCATGGGAAATTACGAAGTATTTTAAAAATTGATATATTTTCAGTAAACATATCTCCACTATGAAATATTCATCTTTTTTAGCCACAGTTAACATATAACATTGTGTAAACTTAAGGTGTACAAGATGTTAATTTGATACATTTATACAAGTGACTGCCTCAGTAGAAATTCTGAACATTTCTATCACATTACATTTTTATCTTCTCATTTTAGTCATTGGGATAATTAAGTGTTAGCTTAAGTTAGGCTGATGATTATAGTACAATATTGTCAATATTCATTATACTGTACATTAGATTTCTATGGCTTATTTATTATTCATTGCAAAGATTAATCTTTAAACGTGCCTTTTCCTTACTCTGGTATCCTGTTCGTTAAAAACTACTCTTTGCCTTGTCTTCCATCAATTCTTTCCTTCCTCTTCCCACCGTGACTACAAGTATCAATCACATGCCAAACCTCTACTATTCATCCACACACGACCAGCAGTTTCAAAAACATTTTTTCATGTCATCTGGCTAAAAATTTTCGGTAACTATCCTCTTGACAGCAAAATAACTCCTACTTCCATAATCGAATCTCAAGGTATGCTAGAATCTGACTCTGCCTTACTGCCCACTATCCTCTCTAACCCAACTGCCTACTCTTCACTGCCCCCTCCTGAAGTTACTGAGCACTTGCACATCTTCTGTGCATTTATTCTTGGTATGCTAACCTGAGAGGTTCTTTCTGTTATCTTAAAATCTATGCTTCATCATCCAAGACCCAAATCAAACCCCCTCTTCACTGAAAACTCACCAGTCTGGCAATAATATCACCCAGCTTTAAAGTGCCATGTTCTTACTGTCTATATAATTCACTTAATACCTAGCATATGCTGCTTCTTAGTTATCTTTCTGTTGTAGAGGTTGCTACTTCTTATTAGATCAAAAGCTCCCTGACATTCTAGCACAGTCCACCATGTGTTCTATATATGTTATAAACCATGAGCATCACAAAGTATGCTGTGAAGTTTCCTAGGCAGTTTTCCCTTTTTCTCCAATATGCGCACACACGAGGGCACATTATGTAGCTTATTAGCCTACAAAACTTTTGCTTATACACTTATATAGGCAAGAAAAAAAAAATCCCTGTACATTTGTCTTTACTACTCATCTCAAATGAAAAATTCTCAGATAAATAGTATGCATAACTATAATAAAAGCAAGTACTTAGGAATTAAATGCAATTAAATTCCTAACAACAAAAGGCTTCCCTGTGGCTCAGTTGGTAAAGTACCCTGCCTGCAACGCAGGAGATCCAGTTTCAATCCCTGGGTGTAGAAGATCCCCCGGAGAAGGGAATGGTAACCCACTCCAATATTCTTGCCTGGAGAATCCCATGGGCAGAGGAGTCTGGACAGACAGTCCATGGGGTCGCAGAGTTGGACACAACTGAGTGATTAACTCTTTACTTACTCCTAAACCACCACCAGGCACTTTTTGAATCGTGATTTGAACAAAATAACTATAAAAGGACATTTATACAATTTAAGTAATTACACAATTGAGGAAATCTGAATATAAACCAGGTACTAGATGACAAAGAATTATTATTAATATTGTTTTGGGTGACACAGCATTGAAATATACATTTTATAGATGCACACTGAAGTATGTACTAGTAAAATACAACAAGAACTATGATTTGTTTTTAAACAGAGGAAGAAGGGAAGAAAAGGGAAAGAGAAAAAGAGAAGGAGGAATGTAGGAGGAAAAAACAAAGGGATGCATGAAGCTAACTTCGCAAAATAATGTTTAAAACTGGGTAATAATACTGAGTCTGCGTGAGCCAAGATTTATTATACAGTTCTAATTTTAAGTTATGTTCGAAATTTTTCATGTTTAACTCTTTTAAATAAAAAAAATCAAACTGAGTTCAACATAAGTTAGCAATAAAATATTTTATACTACTATCAGTTCTTTGCTATTCAGATAACAAGTAAAACAGTGATAAATACACTGCAACAGTCCGTATGTTACCAATAATGACAGAGATGCCTTCCTCTTAATTAGGAAAACTATGAGCCAAGTCAATATCTATTTTGCTTACCAGCATGCTATTTTACTTAACTTAGCAAAGTACAGGCGCACAGTATATATTCAGTAAACATTTACAAACTGAATAAATTTAGATGAAATACACTAATATAGAGGATAATTACTTAGACACAGATGTTAATTAATTCACAATTGTACAGCCCCAACCATACTACACGCTATTTAACTGAACAGCATCTACTGCAGAGCCATGATCAGAATCAATAAAAAACATCGTTTTTCCATTTGTGTTTGTTTTCCTGAACTCACTTTGCATACCACTTTAATGAAATATTCACTGGTAGAACAGGCCTATAAAAAAAAAGATTCTTTGACACTGAGAAGATTTAGTGATATTTTCCTCCTTGAGCAAACTTAATCATCTTCTGATTGAAGACTTAACATAACTGTTAATACCCACCTGATATCAAACATAAGAATACATAAAATCTAAAACCAAACAACCAGGAAGCTCTAAATTTTTAAACAAGCTCCGTAAAATAGTCATTTACTAAAGTCTGTTTAAAGAAGAAAATTCGTTGTTTTGATCCTAAAATTTTGAACTGCTTTCATATATAATGGAAATTTTCCCACTCACATTCCTTCAAAGGGCAAACTGGTATTATAAAAATTAACACCAATCTTGTTATTTTAATTTCATGGCCATTAAGAGTCTGGTTGGAGTTCCCATTATTTTAGTCAAATAATGCATATATGAGAATAAAAGTAAATACTTCCAAGGGAAAAATCTGTGTATAATAAAAATCCATGTTCTGATTCAAGCAGTAAATGCCAAAGTTAAAGAGTATCTTAAAGAAAAATCCACAAACCTTCAGCAATCATGTCTTCCATCTCTGTGTCAGATGAATTATCTGCATGCTTTGCATTATTCTGCAGCTCTGGCTGAACACACACAGAATTTATCACCTGATTATCCAAAACAGGCCTTCTTTTCACAGGCTGTTCAATCAGCAAAGATGAACGACTCACCTTTAAAAGACAGAACAAAAAATAAATAAATAAAAAACAGAACAAAATGAAATCTTTTTAAAGACCTTCAGAAATAATTTAGTTTAAAAGTCTCTTGAAATCAATAGGATCTGTGATAATTTACCTGTACAACTGATCAGACCCATTCATTTATTTCTTGAGAAAAGGTTATGTTCAGGTTGCCTGAACACTTTATATACAGCTCATGAGCAGTATGACCAAAGTCTCAGTCAAATGGAACCAAGGGTCTTTGTTTAGGTGGGTAGGCTAAAAAAATCTTTTAAAAAATCAGTAATAAATTGTGATTATAAGAACCTTTACTTTTTTCTTTTTCTGCAACAACCTTTAAGATTGATTTTTCATGCACAAACTTTTAATTTATAGGATTCTTTCCTCAGGATAGATCATTACTGTATTTTAAAGATAAGGGAACTAATATTCAAAGTGTGCAGGTGATTTCTTTCTAACAGCAGAAACAGGAGTAGAACTCAAGTCTCCTGATTCCTAGTTAAGTAACCTATTTTAATCATAAATAAAAATGGAAAATTCCTCAAACATTAACATCAAAATCAACAAAAATATAGTCACTTATGTTCAGTACACCAATTTAAGTCATGAAAACTACTTACTTTAGAAATGCTTTCAGCAAAAATAATCTATACCAAAAGTATTTACTCATTTACTAGTGAACCCTCAGCTAATCTTAAAAAACAGAACCTTTGATTCTATTTGAGAATGCTGGTCAAGTCTCCAACATTTTCCATACATAATGAACAACCGCTTATTGGAACTTTTTACATGTAACCCTGGAGAATAATCACCCATAAACTTTTTTTTTTGGCCTCACTTGCAGGGATCGAACCCAGCCCCTGCAGTGAAAGCACCAAGTCCTAGCCAGTGATCACCAGGGAATTCTCAACCCATAACCTTTTAAATTGTGTTTATTTCAGTTTATATATGTAATTATGTCTCAAATAAAATTAGTGGAAATTATTGCTGAAAAAACCAGTATTGAGTGCTTATGATTAGAGCATACACTTAGGGTATATGGATAAATTTAAATAGTCTTCCAGAAAATGATTTGCCAATATATATCAAGAGTCTTATGAATACATATGTAATGTGATCTAACACCTATACTCCTGGGAATTTATGCTAAAGAAATAATATTTAAAATGTGGATTTCAAATGTGAATAATTTACATACAAGGATATTCCTTTGAACAGCAAAAAAAAAAAAAAAGAAACCTAAATGTCCAACAGTATAGAGTCCCTCAGTATCTGCAGGGGATTGATTCCAGGACTCCATAGGGTACAAAAAAACGCAGATGCTCAAGTCCCTGATGTAAAAATGGAGCATTATTTGCATATAACCTGTGCACATTCTGCCATATGGTTTAAATCAGCATACTGATTTGAATACTGAAATGGGTTGCCATTTCCTTCTCCAAGGGGTCTTCCCAACCCAGGGATTGAACCCCAGTCCCCTGCATTGCAGGCAAACTCTTTACCATCTGAGTCACCAGGGAAGCCCTTTAAATCATCTCTAGATCACTGATAATACCAAAAACGATGTAGATATGAAGCGAACAGCTGCCTGAGCATGACAAATTCAAATTCTACTATTTGGAATTTTCTAGATTTCTTTTCTTTTTTTTTAGATTCTTGATCTACAGTTGGGTTAACTCCCCAGTGTGAAACCTGTGGATATGGGGGGGGGGGGGGGGGGGGGGGGGGGGGGCAAACTGTAATTGAAGGATTATATAAATTATGACAGTCCAGAAAGTGAAATATTAGGTAACCTTTCAAAATGTTTCCAAAGTACTATTAATCAAATGAAAAAATAAATGTTCAAAATATACTAAGCAAAAGAAGCTGATCTGTAAGGAATTCCCTGGCGGTACAGTGGTTCAGATCCTGCACTTTCAATGCCAAGGACCCAAGTTCAATCTCTGTTTGGGGAACTAAGATCTCACAAGAAGAAAGGTGTGGTCGAAAAAAAATTTTTTTTAATAATAAAGGGAATCTGAACTGTATATACAATTATAGTCCTGATCATATGAAAATATATATATTAAAATACATTTTGTGGTATTACTATTTGCTCTGTACATTTTCCAAATTTTCAGTGAAAAAATAATACATATTACTACATAGAACAGTTACACACATTTAGTCTTCACAATAACCCTAAAAGCAAAATATCATCTCCATCTGCTGGATGAGCAAATGAATTTCAAAAAGGTTGAGTGACCTGACAAAGGTTACACTTTCAGCATATGGCAGAGCCAGGACCCAATCTCTGAGATTAGGGAGAAAAAGACCGTTTCTCCACTCACTAAATCAGAGGTTCTTAGATCCAAGTTTAATATACACACAGTAAACTGAAAACAAAGGCAACTGGCTACAGTTAACTATCACTGTGCAATCATAATGCCCTGCCTATGAATCTGAAAAATCAGATGCTTCAAACGCCTTCAAAATACATAATTTTGTATTCTCGTGTCTTTGTTTGGGGCTTTGATTTTGGCTACTTGTCTTGGTATATTTCCTAAGGAAAAATGTTCACTTCTAGACATAACATGTAATGTAGCTAACGAAGCTGTAATGTATAGCTAGTCTCAAATTAAATTACTTAAAGTGATAGGATACAGCATCTCAATTCTGATGTGTACATTCTGAAGCATTTTTAAAATATGATTGAAACCTGAGATTTAAAAAATAAGAAAATCTATTTTTAAAAACCATCAACTGGATAATTTCAGATATAAAGATCATTGGGAAGTTACTGTTTTCTGTATGCAAGTTTAAGTTCACAAGTATCACATTATACAAGAAACACCTTTTAAAAGAAAATACACTTCTGATGTCATTTCGATCCCTTTAAAGGGTTGAAAAACAAAGTTTCCTTCAGAGTGAACATCTAATTGCCTTCTCTAAAAATTACAAAATATCCTTATGCCCTAAAACTGTTTGCTTCCATCTTATACATCTAAATAGCTAGCATAAAATTCTAGAACTACTGATAAAAATGGAAATATATAAAGAAATATATATATATATAAATTTATATATAAATTTATATATAAATATATAAAGAAAGAAATTCTCTAACTTTTTTTTGACCCCATGGACTGTGGTCCTCCAGGCTCCTCTGTCCATGGGATTTCCCAGGCAAGAATACTGGACTGGACTGCCATTTCCCTCTCCAGGGAAATTAGTAACTTTTGAAGTAAGTTTTTTATTAGAGAAAATACATTAAGAGACCAATAGATCATACATTTTAAAATTATGCTACATGAATAATTTTGAAAATGCAAATTTGCTTGCTACTTACAGGAAATGGCTCCAATCCCTCCTGAATCACAAAACCTTCAATAACATGGGTCAAAATCTGTGGCTTAACAATAGCCTGTGGAGGTTTGTTTTCAACACTAGGTACGCTACTGGGCATAGATGTACTATTACTTCTTGTGGTAGCAGCTGGAAGTAAGAGCGGAGGTGGAGGAACAGAAACATGTGAAGGATCTGAAGGAGATTTAATTACTGAAGCGCTGACTGATGCCACTGCAGGTAATTCTACTTGCTCTGGAAAAAAAAAAAAAGTCACTTCTTAAATTTGTACCATTCTGCCCAGGCAAATATGAAAGAAAACTGGAGAACATTAACAACAGTAACAGTTAATGTCTTATGTTTTAAAAAAAATTCTGAGACCCTTATATTTATTATCTCATCTCGCCACAATTCATGCTAAGTCACTTCAATAGTATCCGACTCTTTGAGACCCTATGGACTGTAGCCCACCAGGCTTCTCTGTCCATGGGATTCTCCAGCTAAGAATACCAGAGTCGGTTGCCATTTCCTTCACCAGGGGGTCTTCCCAAGCCACGGATCCAACCTGCCTCTCTTGTGTCTCCTGCATTGGCATGTGGGTTCCTTACCAGTAGCACTACCTGGGAATCTCCACAATAAGATGAGATATGAGATATGTACTACTGTATCCATATACAGTGGAAGGCAGCAACTTGCTCAAAGTTAGCATTCCAACTTTGCTTAAAAAGAACTGTCCCATAAGACATGAAAATGTTTTAGAATGTCAACTTAAGAACAATTATTTTAAATTTTTTTTTAATTTTAAGCTATAGTTATTAAATTTCCTATGTTTCTATTCATATATTCCAAATGGTACTAGGGAGGGCAGAATATGCTTAAGAAAAAAAGGATCATGAAATCAACAGAATAAATAGAAATTATAATGAATTATACAGGGCATTACCTTTATTTCAAGTAATCCACAACCATGCACAAATGTTCTTTGCTGTTGCTATTTTTAACAAATCTTCAGTGACACTGTACATGTCAGTTTGCAGGAACACTGTAGTACCAGGCAATTGCAAAATGTTGGGCTAGTTCATTGTGGTTTCTCCCAGGCAAGCTCTGGGGACCACAATAAGACAGATCCACAGCCTATGACAGAGACTTTACCCACCCATTTGTTAGCACTGAACCTTTACCAAGCTGTACCAAAGTGGAGAGATGGAACCAAATGATAGCCAGGAATACCAGTGAGTACAAGATGGCTGAGAGAGGTAACACCACCAAAAATGGGGCATGTGGCAAAGACAAAACCACTACTTACTGAGCACTTATGTGCCAGCACTTATATGTATAAATGTCCTACACATTGTAACACATTTAATCCTAACTAGCCTGGGTGCTGCTGCTAAGTAGCTTCAGTCATGTCCGTCTCTGTGCGACCCCATAGACGGCAGCCCACCAGGCTCCCCCGTCCCTAGGATTCTCCAGGAAAGAATTCTGGAGTGGGTTGCCATTTCCTTCTCCAATGCATGCATGCATGCTAAGTCGCTTCAGTCGTGTCCGACTCTGTGCGACTCCATGGACAGCAGCCCACCAGGCTCCTCTGTCCACGGGAGTCTCTAGGCAAGAATACTGGAGTGGGTTGCCATTTCCTTCTCCAAGCCTATGGGTAAGTACTGTTATCTCCATTTTATAGATGTGGAGGAAAAAAAAAGAGACAAAGATTAACTTGCCTAAAGACATACAGCTAGTGAGTAGTGGAGCTGGGTTACTAACAGAGACAATGCTTTTAACTCCTATGGTAACTCCTCTCCACCAACAGTATGAAAAGAATTGATATCACTATCAAAGATGCTCAAACATAGCCCAGTCAGGTAGAGAAGAAAGAAAAATCCCTATCAAATAAAAATTTCAGAGACCTCTTTGGCGGTCCAGTGGTTAAGAATCCACCTGCCATTGCTGGGGACACAGGTTCGATCCCTGGCCCAGAAGGACCCCACAGCCACAGGGCAACTAAGCCCGTACACAACTACTGAGCCTGAGCATCTCAGTCAGTGCTCTGCGATGGGAAGCCACTGCGGTGAGAAGGCCTTGTGACGCAACAGAGAGGGGCCCCCACTCGCCGCAACTAGAGGAAGCCCACAGGCAGCAACCGAGAACCAGCACAGCCAAAGATAAACAGACAAAAATTTCCACTAGTAAGACCGTGCAGTGAGAACTGGTACAGGGTCAGAAAAGGAAAAGCTAATGGTTCACACCTAGTAACTTTGACGTAACTAGTATTACTATACAGCTTATTTATCACGGCAATATTATGTCCATAAATTAACCTTGTTCCACCAAATAATCCACCAGGATAAACTGTACTAGAAAAACTATTTAAAGTGACACAATCCCTCATTAAAAACTAAAAGTCAGCAGGAAATACTGATTTGCTTACTTCCAGGAACAAATACAGGTACAAATTGTTTTCCAATTGTACACATGTATTACAAGACTGAGAAACCCCATAAAAATCCTATCCCACATGCCTAATTTTCATATATACTCCTAGAGAAAAAGGGATAAAAGATAATTCTGAACAGAAACTGAAAAGCAATTTTTCTATTGGAAGGGAAATACAAATCTATGGAGAGCTGAAAAAATAAGAAAAATTTAATGTCCCCTTACAGATTTATAGATACCGCATTAAGTATAATGTTGTTTATTCAGAAAATACTGCTTGGTATATATGTTCTAACTGATTTTTGGATCATATATACAAATAGACCTAAGTTTTGTTGAAAACTTATGAGTTACTGACTTTATCAAGAATGTAATAGCTTTTACATGCCGGTTCATAATCAGCTGTTAAAATCAAAAACACTACACAGTAGAACACACACAATTATTATCCTCTCTAGATTTAAGAAAACTGTGAATAGAGAAACCCCAAGTTAACTGATAAAGACTTTGCCACAAGTTACTCTGCCTATTTGTAGCTTCATTTCCTGAGCGAAACCAATGAGTTTGTTCTACTTTTTTATAGATGCTTTTCATTTTATTTTTATTTGCTTATTTTTGGCTGCGCTGGGTCTCTGCTGCTTTGCGTGGCCTTCTCTAGCTGTGATAAGTGCAAGTTTTCATTGCGATGGCGTCTCTTGTTGCAAAGCACATGCTCTAGGTGTGAGGGCTTCATTAGTTGTGTCTCACAGTCTCTGGAGCCCAGCCTCAGCAGCTGTGGTGCCCAGGCTCAGTTGCTCCACCGTACATGGAATCTTCCTGGATCAGTGATGGAACCCGTGTCTCCTACATTGGCAGGTGGATTCTTATCCACTGTGCCACCAGGGAAGTCCTTTATGGATGCTTTAAGAATTCTTACAGAACTTACGAAGACTGAATCCTGGTGGAAACAAGTCGCTCTATTTTTATAGGTTAGTTTATTATATGATTTGATAAGCAACCTGTACTTGCTTTTCCCTCTCATATACTACAGAAAAGTAGTTAAGCATGAAGAAAATTAAAGGAAGATTCAAAAATTTATAGTTTACTCAGACAATTTAGCCAGAGGAATATGCCTGCCAGGGTCTCAGATTATATTTCTAAGGAAATAATGTGAAGATATTGTCAAGGTTCAATATTTCAAAAGTATTTAAATTTTCTTGAGTACCATTAGTAATGCTTATTAGGTAATTAAATCACAGCCACAATGCAGGGTTAGTATCCAATTAAATATATATTTCTGCCTTTAAATCAAAACTCCCAAGATATCTGCAGCAACATGAATCCCATTTCAGTGTACAAAAACTACAAAGATTTAATACTATAGGTAAGTTTTTAGATCTTTTGAGGTATCATTTTGAATAAGCAAAGGCAATGATACTGAATTTGTCTTAAGTATTTTTCATAATTTTACTAAATGTTTTCTCTTTTTCAGGAAAGAGGAAAAGTTTGAGTAAAATTGGTTTTCTAGCTCCTTGCAATGGAGATTCACATTGGCAGTAAGAAATAAAACCTAGAAAGAAGAGAAGGGTTAGAGATGTGGCACGCTGAAGAAGGAGAGGCTAAGTCAGTGCCCCATTATAGTTTGTTTTCATGCCTGATAACATTGGTTCCTCTCAACTAAACATGATTCTGAAGGCGATGAGATATGCAATAAGACAGAATACTTACAACAAAGCCTGAACCAAGATTGGCATTATCTGGGAGAGGGGTCAGTAAACACTTTTATGAAAGACATATGGTCTCTGCAATGACCCTCTCTGCTGCAGCAGTGTAAAGGCAGCCATAGATAATATCTGAACAAACGTGGCTCGAGGTGGCTATGTTGCATAGAACTTTATTTATGGACAATGAAATCTGAATTTCATATAATCTTCACATGGCATGAATTACTCTTCCTTTTTTTTCCCCCAAATATCTAAAAATTCTAGACCTATCCTTGGCTCATTGGCCATACCAAAACGTGTAGCAGAAAGATCTGAAGCGTGAGCTATCATTTGCCACTCCCTGATCTAAATAAAATACTCAAAATTAAAAAAAAAAAACAAAAAAAAAACCAACACCTAATCCAGAACATATCTTTTTTAGGACTTAGATAGTGGGCTATATAGATCATAATGTTCCAGTGAAGTACCTAGGATTCACAGTCACTTTGATAATGTGCAGAGGAGAATAGAGAGGATTAACTTGAACTCATAAGTAGTTCTAAAGTAGTGAATAAGAATTTGAAGGTGTTAGCAATTTTTTAATCCATGTCTCTAGTAAGAATCAGTGTGGCTTAATTTAAGTATTGTCCAGGAAGCAATATCTTTAAAAGCATTTACTCAATCTGGATCACAAGCAATTATGAGGAATGTCAGACATGACTTCAAATGCTTTGTGATTTTTGGAGAGTGTAATTGAAATTTTCTAATAGAACTTTGCCTTATTCTAATTTTTATGCTAGAAATAGCTTGACAAATAAATCTGAATAAGCATAAGAAACACATCTGTACAAACTAGTAAAACTTCAAAGACTGAAATGTGTTTTTGATTTGGTAACTGTTTATCATCAAAAAAAACTCTTGAATTCTAATCTATGTTTTGCTGCAATTTTATTACATAACAAATTAGTTTAAGATCATCTCCAGTGGGAAAAAAATGAACTTTTTCCATTACTAACATTTGCCTAATAGAAATTTCCCCCAAATTTAGGCACCTCCTCACCTAACAAGGGATGCTCAGAAGTCAAATCTTCTCCTCTCCCCACAGTTATAGCTGCTGGAGACAGTGTGGGTGGTGGTGGCGTTCTATCCATCCGGACACACTCTTCTGACTCTTCTGGCATTTCTTCTTCACAGACATCTTCTACTTGATAAACCTACGACGACAAACCACACTGCCTAAAAATGTTTGTAAGATATATTTAATAAGGTGTTCCTAATTTAATTAACAAAATAAATTCTAAGTGTTTTAAAATGTAAAAGACAAAATGACTATTTGATCGATTGAAAGAGAAGCTTTAAAATCATTCAAATGAAGTTTTTCATAATACTTGACGATTCATAATACCTGATGATATTTCACTGGAAGCAAGTTGTGATCAGTACCTAAGTTATAAATCACTAAGGTTTTCCCAAAAGGTGATAGTTGAATCAGAATTACTTTTAATTTTGTTAATTTTTAAAAATGTTTTGATTTTATACACTCAACTATTTGGGGAGTTTACTAAAGTTTCTATTAACTTTCAATTGTCATAAATCAAAACAGGTACTAATATTTTTCAAAGCATGTTAGGTGAATTTCCAAAATGACACATATTATATAAAGAAATGCACTGCCTAAATGACTATATCCCAAGCTCTTCTTTACTGTATTTATGTAAATTAAAGAGTGAATTTTGAAAAGTAATGCCTGAGAACCTACAAAAAAAGTATGTGATTACTTTTTAATCTTCTAATCTATTCAAGAATCTAATGAATTTTTATAAGCTAATTATCAAGTAAACAAAAAATATCTGTCCCTGGAATCACACACACACACAGCACCCCTCCCCCACACCCATCCTAAACCATTTGACGTATTACTTATAGTTCTTTAATACTGTTCCATACTTACAGACCAAGTTTTTACATTTCTAACTGCCTTGTTATCCAATGGTAAAGATAACACTTGAGGAAAACAGACTCAAAAGCACTCTGAGAAGGAACTTTATAACTAAAAAATATGTAACCTACTATTGATTTTTATTAAAATTAAGGCTGAATTTTCAAAGTCCACTTGTACAAACTGACACAGGTATTTTAATTTTTCCTCATTTTTATTGAACCATTGTTTTTGAAAGACAGGTTATTAAAAACAAAGCCACAAAGCAATTTACCCCCCTACTTTTATGTACAAAGCTTATTACTTACGTTTATAAAAGTGAGTTTTTAAGATAACTTACCCGAAGTGATTAATATTTCTAATATCAAAATAAAAAAGTTTCAGTAACATTCACAAAAAAAATTTTAATGATATTGGTATCTAATATATTTTTAATCAAACTATTGGAAAAGTCTGATGATTTGAAATTAAAAATGATCAAGATTTCTGAAATCAGCATAAACCATATGTGAGAAAAAGGACTATGAAGTTTTACCTACAAAGGCCTATCTAACAACAGCAATAGAATTTAAAAACCAAACAATAAAACTAATCTTTCAACTCTACTAAGAAGAAAAAAAAATCCCTTTTGTTTTAAAAATTTTAAATTCCTATTGTTACTGCTAATTTTATTAAAAAATAATATTCAGAGCTGTGATCTGAATCAGCTACTAAGTAGGCAACATTTTAGAAAAGTTATTTGCTCTCAACCCTGCATCTGAAAACCTGTTTCACCAAGAGAGAGTCCTTGCCTCGTGTTTGGATCCTCGGGAGTGAAAGCAGTCATTGTTTATTGTACAGTGCAAGAATGATAGCTGCTATTATCTGTTCATGATAAATTTTCTTAAAATGGTGATAATGTCCAATATAAGGAAAGTCATCCAAAAAAAAGTCCTGGGGGTTAAAGTAAAAATAAAAAAACTTCTAGTGAGGGGCATCTGCTGCAGCGGTCATTACCTTAATTTGGCAGGTGGGGATGTTGATGCATAGGTAATTACACAAGTAACAGTTTTATCAACTACACTAGTTCAGTTCTATCTATGTAGCATTTCTTTATTAGATAATTACTCTTCTTACAAAGAGCATCTTTTCCTTAAGTGCTGAAAACGTTATAATATTAAAGTTGTCACATGTTTTTCAAACAGCTATTACAAGCTTTTATGGAATCAAAGATCATGGAGATCATGCATATAATTCTGATTTTTAAAAAAATAGGAAAAGAGTTTTAAAGGATTAAAAGAGGCAAATACAAATAGCATATTCTGAAATAATCCATCAAACAATCCTGTAAAATACTTTTCATTCTTTACAAGTAAGCCTAACTACATATTTTATTCTAAATCTCCCACGTGAAAGCAAAATAAAGAAAAAAGAAGTAGGCAAAGACAGACCTGTCACAGACACCGGCACCATCAACATAAAAAACATAAGTACAACAACTGAAAGACTGAGTAAAGCAAAGAAGTGAAGATTTTGCTCACAAGATCATTTGGAAACTGTACATTACAATTTCTCTTTAGTTCATAACTATTCTATAACTAACAATGGCTGCCAAACTTACCTCAAAGTACATCAGCCTCATCTGTCTCCCTTCCCTAAATAAACTGTGGAAAACATTTATTAGTTCTAAATTATCTACACTCATCATATCCTATTTATCATACCCAAATATCAATGAAAAATCTTGAAAAAAAATATTGATTTTACTATGAAAATTCACACTTATGTTTGAAAATTTCACATTATTTAGAAGTAAATACTTATTATTTCTCTTTAGAAGTAAACATCTCTCTACCTTTAAACATTTGAAACAACCTGGAAACTGTGAAGGAATGAGTAATTCATGAAGAAATCTGATGGTAAAAAAATAGATTTGATAAAGGTAATAAAAGAAAAATACAGCAATGTAATAAACAGGCTATGGTTCTCAAAACTAAAAGAAAAGTTAACATGGAAACATATATAGCAAATATAACCATACTAGTGATAGCAAAGAAAACTCGTGAATAAAATTCCAAAAATTAGGTAACATAAATTTTAAGAAAAAAGCACAATAGAGGGCAGAAAATAACAAGATCTTAGATATTTTTAGCTTTAATTTAATGCAAGTGTTCTGTTTTTGATATTTGTATCCCCAACAGTCCTCAAGATTTGCCCTAACAAAAATAATTAGAAAAATCAAAGGCATAGAGAGGAACTTTATTTTTAACTTTAAAAGCCAATTCACTGAACTAGAAATTAAGAACATAAATTCAAATTAAATTTGATTTCTCTGAAGGTACTGTACACCTTAAAGACTATGTTAAATTAAATTTGATTTCTCTGAAGGTACTGTACACCTTAAAGACTATGTTTTTATGTAACATTATCCATTGTAAACTCTTCAAAAAATCCATTAGAAGAAAATATTGAAATGCGAACTTATTTCTAGATGGCCACTGTTACCTTTGCAAAGTTCTGTTCTGAATAAAAGTAGAATTCAACCACTTCATGCTTATCAGTCAGAATGAAGAATCTATATGAAGAATCTATAAATTTGTATCCTGAGAATCAAAATGTTTTCCATTAAGGAACAGACTTTAAAACTCCTTTCCTTTCTGAGCTAATGGTTATTTTTATTTAAGTGATAAGATCTCTTCAGTGAGGTTTGATATAAATCTCCTTTGGGAATACGGTTTTCCTCAGTTATAAATTTGATCATTCTAACATTTAGAGACCTTATTTCAATTTTATTATAAATTATTTTATAAATTTTAAAAGTCCTTTATAAAATGTTTAAAAGACAAATGTTTTTACAGAATAATTTTCCTTTCTGGGCAATATGTGCCATTTTTAGAGGTTTATTTTGATAAATTTCACCACAGTCTCAGTTATTCAAAACTTTTACTCCTCTCAATGAATTTTTTTATTCTTAGTATTCAACTCATCATTCTTAGCTTTTTAAATGAGAAATATTTCAAGTATATGTTTTCCCTTAGTAGAAATTTAAAAATCAGAAGTTACAACTCTAAAAGATGGGCTACAGTTAATGTTTGTTTGCAAAGTTGGATTCTTTCCTAGAGTAACTTTTTTTAATAAAATTTTAATTATAAAATGTAAGTTTACCAAAAAATTACATCATACAAGCATACCTCCACCTTGACGCAAAAGCCCCATAACGGCCTATAACTGCAGAATGCATACAACCAAAAAGGTTAGCTAGATAAACCATACGTTTAAGAACATACAAGCCAACAAAGGGATCTATGAAGGATAATCACCTTAAGAGAAAAAACTTTGTGCAGATGACACTGGTTCAAATGCATTCCCTTGGGGAAAAAAAATCAACTCTGTAAAGATAGCAGATGGATTTGTTTAAATAGTAATAAAATTAACGAGGGACTTCAATAACCATCACAAATTATCAAGCATGCAACCATACTACAACAAATGGCTTTTTTTTGGCCCATATAGCCCGTATGTCAGACACTGACAGATGGAAATTTCAAGCTTTTTAAATTCATAGGCATTTAGATCTAATGATAAAACACAACGTGGGAGAAAACTGTTTACTTTCAGTTCAGCAAGAAAGTCAAAGAGCTTCCAAGGGCTTACCACTGGCGGATCAACGGGTGCTGGTGGTTGTACTTGTAGGTTTACCGCAACAGTCTGTGGAGGAGGAAGAGTCTGAAATGGCAACTGGACCAAAGCTTCTGCAGCTGGAAGCTCCTCTTCAGACACCAAAGCATTCTGCACCAAAACCTGACCCTGGGATAGAATTTCAGGCTGCACTTGTAAAGATTGCATAGACTGCAGGGGCAGTGGTGGAATCTGAGCTGGAGGTGATGTCGACATCTGTGGAGGGGTTGCAATTGGGATTGGAGAGGACTGCAGGGTTGAATATTGCTGGTGTGATGTTGGAGACACAATCTGCTGACCTGGGGACACCAAGGCGGACTGCTGAACTGGACCAATGTGTACAACAGGGGAAGCTGGAAGTGGAAGGTGGGATGGAAGATTCAGCTGTGCTGTAGGCTGCACCTGATTAGGGGTGGACTGCTGCAAGTTTGACCCTGGCTGGAGAGCTGATGACACAAGAGGGTGTGGCTGAATAAGTGCTTGTGGATGAATGATTATAGTAGGAGACTGACTTGGTGAATGAGGTGGAGGAGGAGACACCACTACAGACTGCTGTGCTGACTGTGACTGGCTAGGAGACATTGCCAGAGGAGGGGGATGACTCTGAATTGGTGAACAATGCTGCGACTGGGAACTGCTGGGGGCTGGAGGCAGGCCGTGGTTTGGGAGTGGCATACAGTGCTGGGAGGGCGGTGGGTCTTGAGTTGGACTTTGAAGTGTGATTGGCTGAATTTGTTGTTGCTGCTGCTGTAGTATCAGCTGATGATGGGAAACTTTGGGAGGTGGTGAATGAAGAGGAATCTGCTGATGTTTTATTAGAGGATGAGGCTGAATTGGAGGATATGACGCTACGAGAGAAAAAAATGACAATCAGTCTTTATTTCAAAAACATCACATACATTTTAAAATAAATCTAAAGGAGGAAAGTTTTCACATCAGAAACCTATAACGAGTCTTCCTAATAAAAATGATTCAAAAATGTAATGACAAACAACTTTTCCTTGAAAAACTACATAATTTCATAAACAACACTGTGATAAGTTCCAAAAGAAAACTGCCTAAAACAACTGATATAAATCTGAATTTACACATGATTTATTCTTATTAAATTTTAAAGGTCATCAAATATTTCCAATAACTTTTAACAAAGTGTATCCACTTGAATCATTCTTTGGCAAGAAGAGCATAACTGAACAAGTATCTTTATATTATACTACAATAACTCTAAAATCATAAAATAAAGATTGCATCCTTTTTAATCCATGTCTAAACATTCTTCCAACTAACAATTACTTAAAAAGCTTCCAAAATAAGTTCCCAAATTTAAACCAAGATAAACAGTTGGTACTATCTGACCCAGGAAAATTTTTGTATAAAAAGTTAATTCAGTTAAGCAAAACATGTGTGTAATTCCTACAGAATGATTAAATGAAACTTAACCATGGTGAAAGGAAATTTCAGAGGCCATTCCAAATCTAGGACAGCACTAGTTCTGTTGCAGAAAAAATAATACCATCAGTCATGCTGTCTAGATAAAGGATCCTGGTTTACTTCTCTTCTTCCCCACACTCACAAAACCCTACAGTAATCTGTAAGTAATAACATCAGTTTTTTCCACAAAGGAGTTACTCATAATAGGAAAAAATATATATATATATACACACAGGTGTATATATATATATACATATATGTATGTATGTATATATATATATATATACATACAGGTATATATATACCTGTATATATAAGAATTAGCAAAATCAAGTACTAAGTGGTTTCCACATCATTATGCCTCTTCTGTATACTGGTGCATATGTTTACATAGAGGGAGATGCTGATAAAATCCTATCTAAATAATGGAAACTGGGTTCACTAGAAGGTAAACTGGAAAGACTGCTTAATATTAATATAATGTATCAATTGTCACATTTTAAACATACCGAAAGACAAAATTTTTTTTCTTAATCTCAGACTGAAACGTCTTTTTACACTGAACCACATGTGACAAAAACGTTATAAAAAAATTCTAACAACTTATTTCAATCTTTTTGCATTTGGTTATTATTTAAAATTCTGGAGATTCTTTAAAGAAATTAACATCTGGTTAACATCTCAAGAAAGAAACATTTGAAGGTTTAACAAATACCCAAGCATTGTTGAAACCAAAATGGAAATTAGATAATAATCTTCATATAACTTCATTTAACTAGACTAGCAGTTCAAACTAAGACTGAAAATTTTATGTCACCACCTTATAAATGTGTTGGTAAACACTCTATATTACAGTCAATGAAATCTTGGCTTTGTATAGAGTACCTTTCCACTGAGGGGCTTAAGATGCTTTCACATAACTTTCCTTTGTCCTTATAAAATGTCTGTGGAGTAGGTATTATTATTGTCCTTTTACAGATAAGGAAATAGAGGTTTTGTGAGCATAATAGCAAAGGCCCACTTTACTTCAATTTTTTAAGTTATAATTCAGATTTACCATATTCTTGAAATACAATGGAGACTGTAGTCACAGGAATAAAGAGTCTCTCTGTGCTCTAGCAAGTAAGCAAACTTTGTTTTCTAGAGCTGGTAATCCACTAGAGTAATAGTTATCCTTTCACCTAAATTAAACTTTTCTTTGATCAGACATCAGAATGTGTCTATATATTTTATATTAGTCCTAAGTCCAACTGACAAGCACATATACTATAGAATAACTGTGAGGATATCTTAAACAATACTTCTGTATAAGAAAAGTCTTAGTGCTCTGAAGAATATGACATTTGTTAATTTTTCTTATTTTAACAAACACTTTAGTATTGTCAGGTAGTCTACATACAAAGTAGAACCTTTTATTATTGCAAATAATTGTATTATTGTAAATTATTAAATATATCATTTCATTCCATAGTTACTACAACCCCATGAGGTAAGATAGGCACTCTACTAATCCAATAAATTTCAGGCGAAGAAACTTTCAATAATAAGGTGACTTGCCTGCCATCACCTGGCTATTAAGGGGCAGCACTGGGCATAAAAGAAGCCACAGTCCCGGCTGAGTCTGTGTTCCGACTACGGTCCACATGTTTGTGTCCCCCAAAATTCACATGTTCAGTTCTTATTGTGACTGTTTTTGGTAATGGGGCCTCTAAGGAAGTAATATATGACTAAATAAGGTCAACGGGCAAAACCCTGACCCAACAGGAAAACTTGCTATCCTCTTCTCACACTCAGAGGGAAGACCACGTGAGGACATACAAGGTGGCAGCCATCTGCAAGCCTGGAAGAAAGCGCTCACCAAAAACCAAAACACTGCCAGCTTTTGACCCCGAGCTTTCCATCCTCCAGAACTGTGAGAAGATCAATTTCTGTTGTTTAAGCTACCTAGTCTATGGTATTTTTTTAATGGCAATCTAAGAAGCAGACTAATTAGGCTTTAAGTCCTTCTACATACTGGATTAGTATCTGCAAACAAGCATATTTTTAAATTAATTTCATAAAAGCTCTAAAAACTGCTATTAAAAAACTTGAATTCTAATACAGCTCATGATAATTTCCAGATATTTGGTTAAAGTTTGCCTTTATTTTATATATTAAGAAAAGGATGAATAAATATCAAGCAGGAATTTTACTCTTAAGAAGAAATGGTGAAGAAAAGTAAATGATTTTAGCACCCTAGAAATGTATGTAAGGAAATAATAAACATGTCTATTATAATAAATATTAGACTGTACATTAGGTTAGAACACAGTAGATTTTTTAATATTTGAAAGTGACCTGCAAGAGCAAACATTTTTCCAATTGAAGAAAAGGACAAATTACCAAATCAAGAATCTAAAAAAAACATTTTAGCTTCAGACTAATAACCCCCAGCAAGAGAAAATCTAAAAGGGCAGAAAAATTGTAACTGCTGCCTTGCCAACTTAGAACCAGGTATTAGGGGGTTCGAAGGGATTGAAAATCGAAAAATGAATCTCTTTGCTTGAATTAACCCTGACAGACTTTGTACCTTTCTCTTTGGAAGGAAATTAACCTCCCCTTCATTTAAACTATAGAAATCACTAGAAATTTTCCCCTGAGCAGTCATTCCAAGCACAGGGAGTCACTGCCTCCCCACACTAACTCCTTCTATCAACACTGGCCAAGGAATTACTGGGCAGTCCAGTGGATAGGACTCTGCACTTTCACTGCCGAAGGCACCGTCCAAGGTTCAACCCTCGGTAAGGGAACTGAAATTCCACAAGCCATGGGGCGTGGCCAAAAATAACCAAAAAACAAAACACTGGCCAGGGGCAGGTATGAGGCTAAGAACGCTCTATACAATACAGTACAAAAAACCTGTTACCAGGCCATACAAACAGCAGGACCTGGCACTGAGATGCTTATTAAGAAGAATTCACTTGTAACCACACTATCAATGGATTTATTATTTTTACATTCTAACAAGATCTTGAGATTATGTGATATAGAGAAAGTTGGCAATATTAGCACAGAGGAAATATGAAAAAAGAAACAGGTTTAGATGGAGGGAAGGCAAGCTTCAGCAGTGTATTAATAAAATGAAACTTTAAGAAGTAACGTACAGAGGGCAGTTCAAGATGGTGAAACAGAAGGATGTGTGCTCATCTCCTGTGAGAGCACCAACCAGCTGTTGAACAACCATCAACAGAAGGACACATCAAAAAAATATACCTCATGTCCAAAGAAAAAGAAGCCTCAGCAAGATGGTAGGAGGGGCACAATGCAATCAAATCAAACCCCATAACTGCCGGGTGGGTGACCCACAGACTGGAGAACAGAAATACCAAAGACGTTCTCACACTATTGTGAAGATTCTGAACCCCATGTCAGGTTTCCCAGCCTGGGGATCCGACAAAGGGACTGGGAATCCCCAGGGAATCTGGCCTTGAGGGCCAGTGGGATCTGATTAGAGGACTTCCGGAGTACTGAGGGAAACGGACTCCAGTCTTGGAGGCACAAACAAAATTTTGCATGCACCAAGCCCCAGAGGAAAGGAACAGTGACCCCACAGAGAAGACCAAAACCAAGACTACCTGCTAGTGTTGGAGGGTCTCCTGTGGAGCCGTGGGTCAGCAGGGGCTCATCACAGGGCCACTGGAAGGTACTCACTGGCATAAACCCTCTTGGAATTAACCATTCATCCTACCATAGAGCTCACAGACTCCACGGCTGGGTCACCTCAGGCCAAACAACTAGCAGGGAGGGAGTGCAACCCCACCCATCAGCAGATAATTAGATTAAAGCTTTACTGAGCAAGGCCCTGCCCACCAGAGTAAGACCCAATTTTTCCCATGCCAGTGCCTCCCATCAAGAAGCTTACACAAGCCTCTTAGCCTCTTCCATCAGAGGGCAGAGGGAAGAAGCAGGAAGCAGCAGTCTCATAGCAGCTAAAACAAAAACCAAATGACAGAAAGTTAATCAGCATGAAAAAGCAGAAAGTTATGTCTCAGATGAAGAGACAAGATAAAACCCCAGAGAAACAACTCACTGAAGTGGAGACAGGCAATCTTCCAGGAAAAAAATTCAGAATAATGGTAATGAAGATGATCCAGGATCTCAGGAAAAGAATAAAGGCAAAGATTGAGAAGATGTAAGAAATGTTTACCAAAGACCTAGAAGAACTAAACAACAGACATGAATAACACACTAGAAGGAACCAACAGCAGAATAACTGAGGCAGAAAAATGGATTAATGATCTGGAGAACAGAATGGTGAAAATCACTGCCACAGAACAAAATATAGAAAAAGGAATGAAAAGAAATGAAGATAGCCTAAAAGACCTCTTCAACAACATTAAATGCACCAACATTCACATTTTAGAGGTCCCAAAAGGAGAGAGAGAGAAAATATTTGAGGGGATAATAGCTGAAAACTTCCCTAACATGGGAAAGGAAATAGTCAATCAAGTCCAGGAGGCACAGAGCCCCAGGAAGGGCAAACCCAAGGAGAAACACCCCAGGACACATTACTGTCAAACTGACAAAAGCTAAACAGAGATAAAATATTAAAAGCAACAAGGGAAAACAACAAACAACATACAGGGGAACTCCCATCAGGCTATCAGCTGATTTCTCAACAGAAACTCTACAAGCCAAAAGGGAATGGCATGATTATTTGAAGTGATGAATGCTAAGAACCTACAACCAAGAATACTCTACCCAGCAAGACTCGCCTTCAGATTTTATGGAGAAATCAAAAGCTTTCCAGACAGACAAAAGTTAAGACAATTCAGCATCACCAAAACCAGCTTTACAACAAATGCAAAAGGAACTAACTTCTCTAGGCAGGAAACAAAAAACAAGGAAAAGAAACCCAAGACAGAAAATAAATCCAAGACAATTAAGAAAATGATAATAGGATCATACATATTGATAATTACCCTAAATGTAAATGGTTAAACATACCAACCAAAAGACACAGACTGGTTGAGTGGATGAAAACATGTACATGTATGCACTTCCACTTACCACATCACTCTACTTGACCCCCCAAATTGTATGTAATTATTTTATATTGTTAAGCTAATCATGTTCCCATTATAGCTTGCAACTGTAATTATCTTTTATTTTTTGTCTGGCTATTGATTATGAAAACTGACAAACATCTTTTCCTATTGTGATTATGTAACGATTACTCACTTAATATCATTGTATCATGATTGGTCAACAGAAAAATAGAACTCTATATCACCAAAACTAGGATCTAATAGAAAAACCTGTAATCACTTTTTAAACTGCAGATGCATTACCAGAATTATCTTGAAGCTTTTTGAAAAATACAAATGCTTTTGTTCTCCAGAGTTCCAGATAGGTTTCTAATGAACAATCATGTTTAAAAACAACTGGACTATATGATGATTTTTATCTAGTCAGTTTCACTTTTTCTATTTCATATTCAACGCTCCCATTGTTTATATTCTCCAATTTCTCCATCTCTTTTTTTATGTTGTCTCTCAAGCCTTTATCAAGTGTAGTAAAGCTTTTGTATAAATATGTATAATATATATTTTAGAAAACTTACGAATTTTTGTCTAAGTAAAAAATTATGACAGTTTGATTCCACTTGTTTGACTTAGTATGAATAGAATGCTAGATTTCTAATTTAAAAATAGATATGCAACAAGCAACAAAGGTTTACTGTATAGTCAAGGGAACTATAGTTAATATCTTATAATAACCTATGATGCAAAATAATTTCAAAAATAATATATGTGTATTTGTATAACTGAATCACCTTGCTGTGCACCTAAACATTTTAAGTCAACTATACTTCAGTAGAATATATATGTTATAAAAAGTACTGCATAATTATAAAAGGATAGAAAGAAGATACTTACCTGATGAGGCTGGATCAAAGTAAGTTTTTTTTTTTTTTAGGTAACACATATGAGGTGCCTAGCTCAGTGCATGACACACACATTTTCAATAAACAAATTAAGCTGGTATAAAAACATATGTAGATATATTAATGATAGGAGAGATCTAAGTAGGCTTAAAAAGCATAAGAAAGGATCCAGCATGAGGGAGACAAAAGCTGCTTTAACTATGAAAGAAGGTCAGGAACAAGTTTAAAAAAAATGCAATCAATGACACAGGGAAATAGTGCTAACTTTAAAGCAGAAAGCAGATAATTCCTTATCCTACTAGAATTGAAGAAAGCTCAAAACTGAGAAATTCTGAGATGAACAGAAGACATGATAAGGAAACTCACTCTGCACAGTCCTAACACTTTCAGCATAAGAACCATGAAGGAAGATTATCTATAGATGGCAAAGGGAACAGGCATGGGTTTCAAAGGCTGAGGAGAATAAAAACAACTTAGTTGATTCTCTGACATCCTCCTCTCAGAGATGAAATCAAAGATGGAAAAAGAGCAACATGGTGAGGAAAATAATTATGCATAATCCTTATTTTTGGAAAGTGATAAATTCCTCCCACTAGTCACAATTTTAAAGAAAAATATATACTTGCTTTTTAAAAAAGCTTTTAATTTTGGACAAGTAAAGCATATTAAATAAACCACAGGCAAATTTTTTTTTAAAGCTAACAGGTTTTATCCATACAACAGGAGACTAGCACACAATGAAAATGTTAATCAAATGTCAACTGACCAAAAAAACCTATTATAATGCTTTAACTGTTGGGCTCTTCTTTTTTCAAGCTATACTACTGAAACATTCTTTTGTTAACTTATAAAATTCACACTTTATAATGTTTTAAAAGTATTCTTGTTCAAGTAATGGTATCTTTTGTTTTGCTCTGCCTGCGAAGAAAATGAATAAAGCAACTATTTTCAACAAAAGTCTTTCCCACCTGGTGCTATTAACTGGTGAATACTTGATGTCCGGGTGACAGCTGTGCTTCGTGATTCCAGACTTGGACTTTCTCCCTTCTTATTACTTTCTGGAGAAGGATCTCGTTGGCTGATTTTAGAACTGGTCACTGTTGTTTTGTTATGACAAATTGTCAATGACTGAGTTTGACTAGTACTTTTTGGCGGACCATTTTGTGAGCTAGATAATACACCCAACTTCTGGCTGCGTAATGTTAAATTCTGAACCTAAGAACCACACAACAAAAAACAAGGATGAAACAGATGGTATTAATTGATGTGGTAATCGCTACCATTGTAACAGTGACAACATATTTATTGTGCTTTTTTATACATAAAGTTCCAAACATGTAAAACAACTAACTAACCCTGAAAGAAAGGGGAGTTGTTATTCTAATTAATCGTACCTTAAACATTAAGTGGCTTTTTTTTTTAAAGACATGAAGGAAAAGAATCATTAAGAACTAAATAGACTATATATACATATGGCAAAAGAACTATGAATAGGAGGAAATTACCCTGTAACATGCTGCATTTTAAAGTTACCAGGTCAGAGACAGTGGAAGGGAAGGAGAAACAGGAAGAGCATTCCCGGCAAAGGGGAAAACTTGAGCCACGTGGCAGAGGTGGGAGAGCCCAGAACGCAGAGGAAGAGTGAGCAACTCCTTCAACTCCACTCTTGAGTTCTCCACGTCAGCACTGAGAAACATTTCAAGCCTACAAGCCCCTCATAAACTTGTGAGAAATTACTACACACAGTTAGAGGGGAGTGTGAATACAATATTGCTATCTTAATAAAGATCAGAAAAGAGATAACAAAAAAGTTACTAGGTCTACAGAGATTATCTACTATCTCTATAGACCTAGAAACTTTTTTATAATATATATATAATAATAATAGATAAGAGATTAGAAGGGAACGCTAATCTTCTAAGAAAATATATTCATGAAATCACCAAACCCACTGTGATAATTACTAAAAGCATTTCCATTAACTAACTTTAAGAGTGAGATTTTGTTGGGATGGTTATGAAACACTCATTTGCCCTTCAGAACTGGATCTCGAGCTGGAGAGACTGCGCATGGCACTGAAATGCTCTGATGTGAGGACGCCCATCTGTGTGCACAAATAGATAGTTATGTCCCACTTTTGGCGACCCCCTCGACTGTAGCCCGCCAGGCTCCTGTCCATGGGATTCTTCAGGCAAGAACACTGGAGTGGGTTGCCATGCCCTCCTCCAGGGGATCTTTCCAAACCAGGGATCGATCCCAGGTCTCCCACATTGCGGGCCGAGCCACCACGGAAGACCGAGTCCTGTATACACCAGGGCTTCTAAACACACTACCAGTCAGGATGGTGGCAAAGATCAACCCAATTACTCTCATCTGAGGTTTATAACATTTTAAAACAGTAAGACAGAAAACGCCTCTTCTGGATGCCTAACTTTTTGCCTCTCTGGAATGAATGCACCAAATATATTAATGCTAGGAAGGGAAACTGAAGTAAAAGAGATTCTAGGGTGACAAATATATTGCTGCTTTATGAATGTTTGGTCTCTACAACAGTACTATTAACTGATGCTTGATACCTTCTCTTTCCAAGTGCCAATGCAGTGATCAGCCAACAGCAGATGCTAAATAAATGTTTACTTCAGCACAGTTTGAAGTTTTAGTCAGTTCTAAGTTACTTGAAAGAATTTTCTAAGTGAGACCATATGGAGCATTTTCTCTGATTTTTCTCAAATATTTCACAGCAGTGTAAACACACTGAATCACTGCTGTATTACTGAAATTTAACACAAGAATAAAACATGCTGAAATCCAGATTTCCCAGCTCGCCACTCAAAGTCCCCCACTGTCTGGGCCCGAACCGCGTCAAGCCCTTCTTCACTATTTCAGTTCGCAGTCCTCATTTTCTAGCCAAACTTCTGCTGGTCCTTCTCCACACACACCTTGCACTTTCATTTAGAGCCCTCATTCAAATTCCCCTTGCCTCAACGTGGTCTCCTGAAGTCCAACACACTGCTCAAAACCAGTTAAAGTTCTACTCATTCTCCCAAAGAAACCTCTCCATGTCTCTGGTTAGAAATAATTTATCCTCCTGTCTATACTTTTCCCATAGAATTTGGATCATACTGGCCTATACCACTGACAAGGGTCTAGCTTATTTTAGAATTAGTAATGTCTGTGTCTGTGACATACTGAGGCTCTGACTGGCAGGATCTCATCTCTGACATTCATTTTTTTAATCCCCACAGTTCTGGCTGCAGACCTAACAGAAACTACGCAAGTCTGAAGCATTCTCCAATATGTGATTCCAAAATATGTATGACATGAATTTTGTTAAGTATCTTGTTCTATTTATAGTTTTCTTAAGCTAACACTAAAATCTGTTCATGTTTAACCAAAAAAAATCTCAACAAATGTCTAGCACAGGAATATTAAAATCTCTCAGGAAGCAAGGGAGAAACATCATAAAATTTAACATGTGCCATAAATAATACATAAAGTGGACCACCTCATGATGATATTCAAAGGCTGAATTATAGCCTGAAAAACAAAACTTTTCTTCAAATTAAAAGAATATTCAAAACAAATGAATATTTGACACAATGAACCCTTAACCTGCAGCAGTCCATTTAATATACTTTTTTCTTCTAGTTTTCCCTTTGTTTTCTGGAGTTCTGAAAGAAAATGTGTGTGTGTATATATATTGTATTTTATTTATATAAATGAATAACTTCAGAATATGGCTTTACTATCTATAGTCATCTAAGCTTAAATATTTACAATAAATTTCAAACATGTAAACTATACTCCTAAAGTATATACAGAGCTAAATGAGCTGTTAATAGAAAAATCACATGTTCAGCTATCCTTGACAGAACTTCACTTTTAAAAAGAACCCACCCTTTCTAAGATAAAGAATATTATGGCATCTAATGCCCAACTTTAATTTCATCTGAACTTTTCCTATGATCACTTTGTAGAAACTTTCTGACTTAAAAGAGTCTACCTTTCCCACAAAATCTTCTTGCTAATTTCACACCTCAGATTTTTATAGTGGATTACCCAAATACTCACTTGTTTTTTAATTTGGACCTAACTATCTGTGAATTATCGCAGCATCTCTTCTTTGCAGATAAGGAAATTAAGAGTGCTGGCAGCAGAACTACTTCTAGCATCTAAATCTAAGACTGTTTTCTCCTCAATTCTTACAATATTTCCCTGATAGCCTTGGTAAGATTTCTTACTATTCCATAGCATACTTTTAGTATTATGATAACTTTCTGAAAGATTTTTTTTTTCAAGGTAAGGATATGAGATGGAGCATTTAAAATAGTAAATAAGGGTAAGATAGTCCCAATTTCTTATTTTTTACAGTGTGCTATACATTTTATTACTAAGGAAAAATTAACTTATACTGACTTTTGTCAGTTAAAGAATATTAAAACTTCAAATTTGGCATTTCTCAATTTGAATCAAAATATTTAAAATAACTGCAAATATATGTTTAAAAATTAACAAAGTGGAACAGAAATTCTTCAAACGAACAGCCCTGAACTTGAGGAAAGTTACCACTGGAATACTCGGATTACTAGAGGGCCACATACCTATAAATATCATATCTGGGCCCAAAGAGCTAATTCTATAAATTAATTATGTTCACATTAAAAGATGCTACTAAAGACAATGCAAGATGTTTTCTCCATGAGAACCCAAAAAACAGACTGTGCTCTATAGAGAGCTTGTTAATTGTATTTTCCTAATAACTGGTTTATTTTACCTTGGAAATTGCAAATTCTTTAAATGGTTGTATTTCTTTCTTCACCATTAGCTACGTAAAAGCTAAGAACCGAATTTGTGACTCATCTTTAGACAGTGTATAACAAAAACAGTAATTAGTAGCATGTGATATTTCATGTGCCAGGCACTATGCTAAGTGTCTATTTATTCCTTTTAACAACTCTGAGCTATTACTTCCAGTTTAAAGGGAAGAAATTGAAGCTCAGCATAAGTAATAACAGCAGCTAACATCTAGTGAATGCTAACTAGGTTAACAGAAACTTCTGTTTTTCATTTTATTAACCTATTTAATTCTCATTACAACCCTATGAGGTATTATAATTATTTTATAGTTATTTTACTTTATACTGTTGAAACTGAAGTGAGAGTTTAAAGATAGAAAATGAGAAGGTGGTAGAACATGTATTTGAACCCAGAAAATCTGGCTGCAGAGTCCAAACTTATACACACCATGCTATGACCTGTCCAAAATGAATCAACTGGTAAGTGACAAAGCGATTTGCCAAAGTCAGCTTATAAGCCCATGTCTTCCTATTCTTTCCTCTGCAGATAAAGTACTAATGAGTACCTATAAGATTCTAGGCACTAAACATATATTACTCTTCAGCTTAACCCTACAAGTATGCATAACCACTAGAGATGTTTGGTAACTTTTGTCTAAAGTCATACAACTAATAAATGACTGCAGTGGAAGTTGAACTTAAGCCCATGCAGGACTTAATGCACTTAAGTTCAATGGCAACCTAACTCTAAGCTCCATGCCACTTTATAATTCTGGAAGCTGATAATGGTCTAGCTCTATTAGGTTTTATAAAAAGACAAAAACAGGAAGATAATTACTTCAATAAATTCACTCCACAAAGAAACATTTAAAGTTTAGAGCCCAAAACATCTTAATGTTAACAAAGGTCTCATTTTGTAAACATGGAAAGTGATGTATACAAATAAGGAACTATAGAGGGTCACATAACAATGAAGAGAAACCAGAGTTTAACGGATCACCACCTTTATATGCTGACATATGAAAACAGACCTTTCTGATGAAAAGAAAGAGATTCCATGAAAAATACCAAAGAATATTACTGCTAACTCATTTTGTACCTTTTACCAGATGATTGAGATTATTAAAATTACAAAGCCAAGGACGACCTTATTAGGATATATTAACTTCTGCCATATGCAATCCAAAATATTAACAATGGAAAAATACAAAATGATATCATACAATATAAAAGTCTATTCAACAGCTTTAATTAAAAATGTACTCCATTTCATTCATTTTTATTAACCTGAGGTGTAACGTACATACAATAAAATGAACCAGTGCATTAAGTTTTGACATATGTATACATGTTACCACCACCCCAATTTAAATATAGAACATTCCCTTCACTCACGCCCCTTCCCAGTCCATCTCCTCCACCTTCTGCTCGAGGCATCACAAATCCATTTCTTTTTCACTATAGCTCTGCCTGTTCTGGAATTCATATAAATGAAGTCACAAAGCATGCACTCTCTGATATCTGGCTTCTTTGACTAATTATAATGTTTCTGAGATGTATCAGTAGTCTGTTCCTTTTTATTTCTGAGCAATATTCCACAATATGCTTATCCATTCACCAGTTAAAGCAGACTGGTTACTTCCAATTTGGGGCTATTCTCAATAGAGCTGCTATGAACACTCATTTAAATATCTTTATGTGGATATATGTTTTCAAATCTCTCAGGGTAAACATCTAGAAGTGGAATTGCTGGGTCACATGTTAAGCATACGTTTAACTTCACATGTGACACTACGGCTGCTCCACATTCTTACCAAACATGGTATTTTCAATCTCCTTCATTCCAGCCTTTCTAGTGAGTCTATAGTGATACTCATTGTGGTTTTGATTACATTTCTAGAAAGACTAATAACGTTGAGCATTTTTTTCATGTGCTCATTGGCCTTATGCTTATCTTCTTTTGTGAAGTGTTGAATCTTTTGCCCATTTTTAACTAAACTGTTCAAGATCTCATTGAGTTTTACACCTATTTTATATATTCTCAGTATAAGTACTTTGTCAGATTTATATATATATATATTTTGTGAACATTTCCCCTCAGTCTGTGGCTTGCCTCTTCATTTTTGTAGCAATGTCTTTTGAAGAACAGTTTTTAAATTTTGACAAAATCCAATTTATCATTATTTTTTTTATGGCTAATTCTTTTTTTTTTAATGGCTAATTCTTTTTGTGTCCTATCTGAAAAAGCTTTGCCCACCCTAGAGCTATAAAACTATCTCCTCTGTCTTCTTCCAGAGGTTTAATAGTTTCGTCTTTTGTCTTCAGGTCTACATTCTAGTTCTATTTTATTTTTGTGAATGGTGTAAGGTGAAAATTAGTGTTCCATAGAACCAAACAAAAATAAACAAAAAACTGAGTGATATCCTACTCAATTTTTTAAATTTAAAATTTATCCAACTCTACCTTTTAAATTAAAAATTTATCATTTTTAAATTCAAGAGCCATCCTGACTTAGTTATTACTTAACTGTCTGCTAAGGAAACTGAAGAATGCATCTCGCATAAAAGAAGCAGATCTGCTTTACAATAGAACTGAACATAAAATGTCATTGCAAAAACACATTAACTCTACTAATGTCAAATAACCTAAATATCCATGTTTCATGGCATTATAATTTCTACAGAACCAAAAAATGTTCTTGAAGTTCTCACTATATTAAATGTTAATCTGAAATGTATGACAAAAAGCACTGAAACCATCAGTAAAATAAACACAAACGTACGTTCATCTTTAACCTGAAGACCCAGACCTCAGAGTACCAACTCACGAAGCTGGACAAGCTCACCTGAGTAGCTGCAGACTGACAGGAAGATGACGATGACGACGAGACAACAGGAATGTCAGACTGTACAGCAGCCACAGTGGTAGCGGGTGTGAAAATCAGCTGTACAGACAGAAAAACCAAAAAAATACCCTAAGACAAAAGAACATGTCCCACACACAATGTATAGCAGGCAAGAGAGACTGAAATCTGAGACAGAAAGACAATGCAGATTAGGACTGTCTCCTACGCAAAAGGTTTTACATGACAAGGAGAAGTTTTTGATAATAGAGAACTCAAAAGGAAAAAAAAGAAAAAACCATAAACATTTCTCAAACAGTTCATGATTCTGATGAGGAGAAAATAAATCAGTGCTCAAAAAAGAAAATGTATTTTGGCAATATAAAATCCACATACCAAATTTTTCCAAGTAAACTATTAAAACTTTTCCTAGCTCAAAACTATTGTGGCAGGATTCCTAAAATGGAAGTTGTAATAGATAACCATTGTCACTGCTCTTGAATGCAAATTAAATTTCAGTAAGAAACATGAAAAGAAACACCAAAAAGTCTTTTCAGTCCTCTTTACCCCCAAAGGATAACTATGCCACATACTGTACTATAATATTTCACTCACCTACACAGGATCTGTGTGTAGTACAAACCTAGGTTGCTCTTGATTTTAAAAGTATTTGTAAAGAAATATTCATTCTAAGTGTAAATGCCACAACATGTCAAAATTCAACAACAAAACAGCTTGCAAAAAAAACTTTACATCAAAAAAAAGATATACTCTATTTAATTATCATCATCTGTTTTTTAATACTGAAACAAGGCCATTAATTTAAAAAGGCAATACAATCCACTTAAAAGATTACCCAATCCAACTTAGTAAATTATGACAATTGTTTTAAAGAACCTGTGAATATCTCAAAATTGCATCAAAAGTTATACAATTCCTCAAAAACCATTTCTGTTTAAATTATCAATTAAGGGATCTTTTAAACTTCAGTTCTTTATATACTAAATTTAAGTGAATTAAACAACAAAGTTTAACTTTCACAAGAAGGATTCAATACAAACAGCTAAAAGCACTAAACCTAAAAAGATGTTCTATCTAGCATGAACCATATGAAACTGCCAGTTTTAAAGGTTAAAAACAGCCGAATAGCTGTCATTTCAAATATGTTTCCCTAATTTTGAAATGTGTGTGTGTGCGCTAAGTCGCTTCAGTCGTGTTCGACTCTTTGCGACCCTATGGACTGCAGCCCACCAGGCTCCTCTGTCCATGGGCTTCTCCAGGCACTAATACTGGAGTGAGTTGCCACGCCCTTCTCCAGAGGATCTTCCCGACCCAGGGATCTAACCCTGTCTCTGACATCTCCTGCATTAGCAGGTGGGCTCTTTACCACTAGAGCCACCTGGAAGCCCAATTCTGAAGCTTATTGTTGATTACATAAGATCTCATGTTGGGGGGGGGGGAACAACCAGAAATATGGTCACGTCTACTGAATAGTCTATAAATAGAAAGAGAGTCATTATCACTGCTTCCCATTAGAAATATGATGGAGACTTGCTCTGCAATTTTAGTAAAGAATTGGGAATCCAGATATATATTCAGTTCACCAGATATAAAAATATCAATAAATTCCTATCTGGGATAAAGCTCTTCTCTAGCAATCTGTAAAGACATCAAATAAAGTAAATGTCAACCAATTTTTACATTCCTTAAAGCTCAACAAGTAAATTAGGAAATCAGTAGCCAAATTAACATTCTTATATTAACCAAAGATCAAAGTGATCATAAGAACATAAATCAGCTTGCAGATTTTAAGATGGGAATAACCAAAGTTAAGACTCATCTGGTAAATTATCAAGAACTTCAATCCAGCGTTCAGAAGATTCCACAATATAAACTGTAATTAATAGTTAAACCATGTTTTTAATGTTTCTAACAATTTCATCAAATCTAAAATGTCAAAGATACACAGTGATTTTATATATCACTCTAAGAACCAACTACAAGATGCCAATTATAAAATGCATCTCAGTTTTGAGATGTTAAAATATGAAGAAAGGTTTGAAATCAAAGAAATTTGATATTAAAAAATAATCACTCATGTTACAGAATGTTAGCTACATCAAGAAGGCCTACTAATTTAAAGTAGAATTTTTCATGGCATAAACGTGTAGAGTTAATCACATACACACAAAAAAAATTGTTAAAACATTCCTTAAGTATTAAAAAAATGCCTCCTACTGCATCAAATCAAGAAACATTTTGATCTCTCTCAAGTTTTTAAACACTGAAAAAATCTGGTAGCTCGTATCTTACCATTTGAGCTCGGAGATACATTTGAGCTTGGCTTGCCGTTAGGGTAGGGGAGGTACTCCCTAGTAACATAGTCTGTTGGGTAATACTGCCACTGGTAGAACTGGAAGCCTGGGAACGGCTTATTAACTGTGCAGGTGTAGGAGAAGTAGAGAGGTTGATCTAAGGAAGAAAACATATCAGGTCATAGGCTTCCATTTCTTGCTTCCATGTCATTGACTTTCACCAAGTTGCAGTTAGGCAATCAATGGTATATGTCGTGGCTAAGGAACCTAAGAGAGGGCTTCATCTTTGACAGACCTGTCAGGTCTCAGGTGATTATTTGCACATATGCAAACAACAGCACATACGGGTTAGTAATCAGGACAATTTTTAAGGATGTTCTCATTGTGTTTCATAAGACTCCAACATCTTAAAATACCATTTCTACTTTCCCAAAATTAGGGCTATTGTTCCATTATTTCAATATTCCACATAATAATTTAAAACATCTGAATTGACAGTTTATATTATTTTGTCATTTTCTGTCACATTTTGAGGGATTTCTGAAACGAATAAAAGTTAAAACACAGATAATCCATTCACATGTATAAAAACATACACAGAACTAGTATAATCTCTTTCAAAAGTTCTAAGAACAGAATTGTTACTTGTCATACAGATGAAAAACTCCTTAATGTTGGTTACAAGATTAAACTATAAAAACTAAAAACTGTTGTTAAGAATAAATTAGTCCATGGTCTAACTCTAGGCTATGAGACAAACTAGTAACTAGTTTCATCCGTGAAGGCAAACGGGGCAGGACAGACAGTGACCAGGGCAAAGGGACACGTGTAAACCACTACATCATATGTTATCCACTTAAAAAATATTTCTAATGATAATTAAAAATCCAGCCTCTGGAGAAGGCAATGGCAACCCACTCCAGTATTCCTGCCTGGAAAATCTCATGAACAAATGAGCCTGGTGCACTACAGTTTATGGCATTGCGGAGTCAGACACAACTTGGCAACTGAACAACAACAACACACAATCAGGCAGATTGTGATTTGGGGAAATAGTTCTTGATGGAAATGTGACATAAAATGAAGACTGAAGTGACTGAGCAATATGGAATACAGAGTTTTGTAAGAAATTAACATTTGTGTATAGAATAATAACTGCAAATATTCAAACAATAAAGTCCATGGCTAAAGGAAAAAAAAAAAAAACCCAACCTCAAATTCTTTTTATGGACAATGCAGAGAATAAAATTAAGAAATTAAAAAATAAAAAATAGTTTATTAGACTTCTTATTTGAGGAAGAAGGCAGATTGAACTAATATATCCATGTGCCCAAATGTACTCACTGAAAAGGAAGATCAACATTAAAAATTATAATAATATGTAGCTGAACCCAAAAAAGGGGAGGGGAAAGGGAAATTCCCAGGAGCCAGAAAGGAAGAAACTCAGATACAAGATCCAAGTAACAGCAAGGCAACCTAGGGATACTGGCCCACAGAGCTAGAAGACCTGATTTTCAGCCTGATTTTGATCCAGAAGTAAGTCTCCTTCTGAGCCAATATCCTCAAAAGGGCTCCTCAATATGTGAAAAGAAGCTGGGAAAGCTCTCCCCATGCTTCCTGAAAAGCAGCAAGAAAGCTTGTCATACGCCCTGTTCCCAGTGGAAGGAGAGAGGTGCTTATGAGAATCAAAACTCCAGGCTTGTGCCATACAGGGGTACACTACCTGCACAGTTCCATCATCTATCCCAAAACATTAGCATTTGTACTAAAGCAGGACATCTGTTAACCTCAACAAGTGACTGGAGGGAGCTGAGTGAAGATTATACAGGGGATCTCTCTGCACCGTTTCTAGAACTTCTTGAATCTATTTAAAAGCAAAAAGTTAAGAAAACTGCATAGTTAAGAAAACTGTGTGAGTTGGTTAACTAATTCTTGAAATTTATTTGTATCTTTTAAGTATTTCTTAGTTTTAATAAAATATTGTCCATGGAATTTTCCAGGCAAGAATGAATACTGGAACAGATTGCCATTTCCTACTACAGGGAATCCTCTCGACCCAGGGATATAACTGGCAACTCTTGTGTCTCCTGCTTGGCAGATGGATTCTTTATCACTCACAACACCTGGAAAGCCCAACTTAAATGTGTAATTCAGTGCATAAATACAAGTAATAAAATATAGAAACTTATTCTATAATCTGGCTTTTATTCCTAGCACACCAATAAAATCCCATTAGCAAAAATCACCACTACCTTACGACAAATTCAGTGGATTCTTCTTGGAAATCATCTTCTTTTTCAATCTTCTTTACCAGCTCTTTCTAGCCCACCCCCGAACTCTTCACCTTTGTTCCCAACACTTTTCCTCTTCAATTCCTAGATTATCCTATCTACTCCCATAGTTTGGAATAATTCAATCCTAAAGATGCTCAATCCTCGATAACAAATCCTTCCTCTCCAGGTCCAAATAAGTAACAGAATACTTCTTTCTGGATGTCTCTTAAACTGACTCAAACCCAACATGTTCAATCACCAAACTCATTATCATTCCTCTTTAAACCAGCTTCTCCTCAAATGGCCACTGACATCTTCTAATAATCCCCCAAGACAGACTATCTGGAAGTCGTCATAATTCCTCCCTCTCCTATAACTTACACACAGAATCAGTCACATATCTTACTGTAGAAACAGTAGAAACTCTCTCTTCCTCAATTTCATTCTGACTTTGAATCACTTTGAGTCTCTAAACCCACAGGAATTCCAGCTACTTTACCAGCTGCAAACTGACCTCCCTGCTTGGAATATTATCTCCTCTGACTTGCCAGATAATCCTTCCCTGATTTTAATTAAAAATATTAATTAACCGTTTAAAAATCCCTGATAACATTCAAACTCCCCTGACTACCGCTCTAGTATCATCTCTTCCTACTCCTCCATACGAACCCTTCACATTAGTCATATGAAGCTACTGACAATGTCGTAACGTCTCAGGCCTTTGTGGCCTGGCAACAACACTGGACTTAATTGAGCATCACCTACGACTATACACCACACCTCTTCCCCACCCTGTGTAGTAAATAATCCCTCTCAAAAATCACCTGCTAAGCTTTTTAAGACATCCCTATACCCCACAGTAGAACTGACTATTCCCTCTCCCTTTATGCCTGTTATCTTCTATAACTTCCATATACTTCTGGCACATACTTCTCTCTCACTCGTCTAAACAATGATTTTTTTCAACGATTTTTTTAAGAGTGGGGCCCATGTGCTATTTATCTTCATATATTCAATATCTCTAAGAGAGCCTTCAATCAATGTTAATTAACTTAATGAATGCCATGTTATTTTAAGGCATACTTCATACTTTAAATGCAATATCACACAGAGTGAGCATGCGTGTGTTTCAGAAGAAAAATCAATTCTGGTATAGCCCCTAACAAAACACAGTAAAAATGTAGATAGTGTGGTGATACTAGTTTCACCTCTACTTTTGATGTGCTATATAATAAATTATTAATAACCTCCCACAGAAAACATATTCTTTTTCTACACCACTCCACAAATGTTTTTGGATAAACCCTTGCCCCCAAAGATTAAATCACTTAGCAGAGTAAAACTGGTCCATGTTTTCTGACTCATTTTGGCATACAGGGTGCTTTCCTATACCCTGAGAGCTTGTTAATTTGGGTCACTCTACAGTAATAATGCCTTGCCACTTTTTTTCAGTCAGTGATTCTTAAAAAATAAAATAAAAAAGGTAGGTAGGTACGTAGGCAGGAAGGAAGATACTCTTATAAAGGACAGACCACACACTCTTAAAGAAAAACATAAGAGTCTTCTTAAAAACTGACTGGCTGATAGCTAAAGTGCCTGAGAATACTCTGTAAGGAAGTAGAACAAAAAGTATTTACAAATAGAAAGCTTTCTTTTTCTTAAAAAAGAAAAAAAAAAAAGGAACTAAGAAACTCAACAGTAACCTCCGAGCCACCTGCATTTCACTTTGTCGAAGTTGTGAGATCAAAGAATAAATGTTTATTTTTAAGTTCCAGATGGCAAGCACCATTTCACAGCACCTACTATGAAGGCGGAATCCATAAGGGCAGGATTAGCATCCAACCCTGCGAGAAATCCTTTCCTTTCCAGAACTGATATCCTCTCCTCTATTTTCTGCTCTACTCTGCCCATCTAAACCAGATGCCCTAAACTCTTTGCATCATCTTCTCTGTCACCTCTTTCTCAACATTCGTAATTGCCTTTCATTTTAAAGCCTTGACCAATCCTGTCACCTCACAACCCATACCCACACTCCATAAAAGAACTTACTTCTTTAGCCTCAGTACTGTAAGCTCTCCCTCTAATGACACTAAAAGTCACCAAAGGAAACCAAATCTGCCAAGAAAAGTCATGTAACTTCCAGCCACTCCTTGGTGCCCCCAATAGGGGGTTACACAGAGTACTCCCTGAAACCAAAGCCTATTTGAGACCCCACTACAGCAATTTGAGTGATCAGAATCCATAAGGTGGATCTACAGAGAGACATGGTACACTGATATTAGAAGGCTGATGTATGTCTATATTCAATAGCATGAAAATATTTTTACGACCTACTGCTAAGTGAAAAAAATTGTAGAACATGTAGAATATAATCCACTTACATAATTATACACCAGTATCTGCATGTATGGATATATACACACAAGTAGCAAACATGTTAAGAGAGAAATGACTACACTATATATACATACAATAATGCATACTCATAAAACTGTATCTGATTAGATTTGATATCAATATATACACACACACACACACACACACATTTAGAAGAATAATCACCAAAATGCTAGAGGTGAATCATGCCTTCTAGGGGTAAAATTTGGGAATTATTTATATTTTCTTTTTCAAAGTTTTTGTGTTTTCTATATAGGTATTAACTTGAGAATCAGAGAGGAAATGTTTTCCTTTCTTTCATATTTGGTATATTATTTTGTTTTTATCACATTAAAGCAGGATATAAATTTTCTTGCCTTATTCAGTGGGAATTTGTATGTGAGTAATTCAGATACCTGTAAGTGTAAAATATTACATAGAAATTTCAAGTAATAATACCTATCCATGAAGGATTTCCTTTGAGACCACATATTTTTAATAATGAAGT